TTCCGCCTGTTGAAATTCTCAAGTCCCCTTACCCGATGCTCCCTGGATGATCTGGTTGTTAACATATCTGGAAGATGTTTGTCAGCCCTATGATGTGCTGAATATCTAATGTTCACATGTTCCTGTCCGAGATGATGATGTTATCCTTGACTGAATTGGAGTAGCAACTTTTCTGTTGTCTAACTTTTGGACATTATGGCAAAATGGCGAGTGCAACTCACTGGGACACATATACACTTGTACTTTTATACCCAAATATGTGAGAGGGCACCTACCAGGGTTATACTTATCTGGAAATAAGAATGGATACCGGTTTTATATCTTGGAGCTTCTGCATGGTACATCCATTTTTTTGTTGTCAGGGATAGCATTAGGAACTAATGAGTGAAGGGAAAAACTGAACATACTTGACAGGGCTCTCGTCTCCATTAATACTATATATGATGGTCGTATCAGCCATGGTAAAGTGCTAATATTTAATATATTATTTCAGCAATGGGGAAATTCACCTGCTGGATGTGTCCTGCTGTCTGTGCCTCCAAGAGGGAGTTGAAGAACCATGTAGCACGTGATGATCATGGCGCGCTACGGGTCCTCTGTGTGTGGTGCGATGAAGGGCGAACATTTCGTCGAGCTTGCGACTTAAAGATGCACGTACAAGTTGAGCACCAGGATGAGGCTATTGATGGGTCTTTGCTAACTGAAGCAAACGGTTTCTGGTTTTCGCTACGCCCTAAGGACTATGCTCGTGCCCTTGACTATACACCGGCATCAAATGAACCAGCTATCAGAGCGAGGGAGCTTGTGCTCCAGTGGTTGGAAGACGGCAATACCGACTCACTCATGCACCGAACCAGGAAGGAATGGGAGGCTGGGTGGAGCTTGACTTCTCCTGAAGAGGTACTATCGCTGGACATACCAGCAGCAGAACAAACTCTTGATGACGACCTCACCAGCTCCAATCCATTAGAGGCATATGATCCGGAAGCACCAAGGATTCAAGGCCCACATTATCATCTGAATGCTGTCAAGGTTGGAAAAGAGGACATTACTCTCGATTTCAAGATTACAGGTGGTCTTTTCAGCTGGGTCCAACTCGATCTATCTCCCAACATCTTAAAAAACACAATCATTGGAGAAGTCCTTGCAAGAAACCTATTCCAATTAGTAGGAAGAGAAACTCCTGAGCGGCCATCAAACTCGTCAACACCAGTGGATCTTGCCCACCTGCCTAGGATTCTCGAAGGCTGTAACGGACAACTAGGCTTTGAAGTTCCAATGTCCGAGGTGAAACGCGCATTCTCTTGGCCATCGACCATTCATCCTCCAAAGCGTAGCTCACAAGGAGAGAAGCCTGCTACAAGCTCCAAGAAACAGTGCCTTACAGATCTGACCTCAGCACATCGAAGTACCATGAAGCAAGCACACAACCTTTTGAAAACAGGTGCAATGCCCCAGTTTCCCCCAGCCCGGAGGGAATGGACCAGGCAGGGAAGTCCTCTTCGCCTTGGTGGGACCTCCATCCTCTGGCCACCCAAAGGCCATGACAGCAGACAAGAAGCTGCTGAGCTGGGAGTTCGCAGCTATGAAGTTTGAGGAAGAGCTCAGAGGTTGCATGCCGACATCCAGTAGACAGGACCTTCTTGACAAGTATAACTTCCTAGGACTTCCTGGCACTGGAGACGCCAAAGTCGAGTTGAGCAAACTGCACAAGATGAGACTGTACCAGTATAAGTTCCTGGTGATGGTGGCCTGAGCAGAAAAAAGAGAGCGACCTGCCCCCAACTGCTGCCAGACAAGTGCAGATGATGGCAAGTCTTGCCACCATGAGAGACCACGACCTGGATCCTGTTCTCAAACAACTAGACGATGTGCCGCTGCGCCTCGAAGCATAGACAGCCATTATAAATACAGGAGTATTTCGGATTTTAGTGGGAAGGGGGAAGTGTAATAGAATCTAAATTGATATAGTATAAGTATTAAAAACATCATGTAAACTTTGTCAATCACAAGTGTCACCTATTTTCGTTATATCACGATCTATCTGCAAATGTCCATCCATATTTTTAACATTAAAGTAAATAATAACCTAACAACATCATAGACAGTTACCTGGTTCTGAAGTTCACAGATCTGAGGCATCTTTAAGGGGGCATATTCACTGTTGATAGTTGTTTTATCAAGCACTGAACGTTCGCGGTAGCAGCACTTGTCAGACATGACCTAATTACCACTGTGTGTCACTACGCTATTTACATCCATGAAGGATTCTACTACTGATGTCATTGTGTACTATTATTGTACAGACTTATGTATTCCATGTCTCCAAATGATATATTTATTCACTGTCTTGAATCATTGTGTATTTTGAGTGTTAACACCGATGTTTGTCAGGGACTATTTCTTGTGTACACTCCTGCTTCGTGGCTATTTATAGAAAGTAAGTGTGACTTTTGACCCAGATAAACAATGACTTATTACACTTGTTAATGACGATTTTCTGATAACTTTCTTGCTCAGAAGTGTTTTAAAGTGTATTCCATGATGGATACTAATGAAAATTACACTTGATCGAACTGAATAACGAATTTGATCTGTTTGACATTTCTCGGTTTACGGTGACCTGTCAACAACATTTACGTTAGGCTGAGTGACTAATTATAAATTGGATGTCCGTTTTTATATCAAAGCCACATATTCATTATCTGGTATTTTTCTGCATTCTTTGGTAGAAATGCCTTGCTTTACGATATAGAGGACAATGTATAACCACCTGTATTTCCTACATTTGTACCTGCAATATGACAGTCGTTTCGTGTTTTGACATTTGTTGCCGACAATCATTCTAGGCACTAATTGACAGTCTGCTGTCCGTTTTCTCTGTTTGCATTTACCAAATATTTTAGCAAACTTGTTCGTGTCCGAATTGTTAAAGGACACATAGGACAACATCAATTCCTGGATACAGGGCATATTGATGCTACACTGGGCCAAAGTTGTCAATGGTCTTAGTATACATTTGACGTCTGTCAAAATGTCGTCCCGCCACTTGGCCTGAATATAATCGTTGTCCTTATTCTTGTTATATCACATGTTTACACAAATCTCACTTGTCCATCATGGTTGATCTTTTCGGACACTTTATTTAACATAAGGACAATACCATATGATAAAGGAAACTGATGCTCTTGTAAATTTCACTTGTCATAGAGCCGACCACAAACCAAGATGGCGGCCACTGACGCTACGTTGACGGAAAGATATTGTCCGTTTTATTATAACAAATTGATTATTTCTACTGTGTCCTAATTGTATTCGGACAAGAAGGACAACATAAGGACAATTAGTAGTCACTTACTTGTGTTAGAAATGAAACTGCCTATGCAGCGTTTCTTGTATGCAAGCCATCAAACCTGTGTTCTGATTGGTTGAGAAAGGTCACATGACCTCCTGATGATGCCTATAAATACGATCACTGGTCAAGGCCTGACACTCGATTCGGATTCACATTCGGATTCGATTCACTCGGGTCACTCGATTTAGATACAATAAGACTTTCGGTCTGATTAAAGGCTCCTGCTCTAGTTTTTACCTGGCACCTCTACTGACTTAGATTTATCATCATAACTGCTTCTAGGTATATATTTTAAGACAAATTACAATCAATTTAATAACTATATTACATACTCAGTAACATTTCTGCAAGATATTTGAGTTGAAATAACAAAATAACTATTTCCTTGGAGACTGAGCCTTGTCATTAGATATAGATATATATATAGGCCGAGTAGTGTGTGATATTTATTGGCATCATTTATTTTATTGCATTGCTAAGAAAATCCCATCTACATTCTTGCCATTGAAACAAAATTAAAACAAAGTTTGCATATATCACGGCAAACTTTGCTCTCTACTTCATCGTCTCCTTGTGTTATTTGTTTTCTCACGTGCACCCAAAGGGTGTTACAATATGCTATCGGTTCCACGTCAAGGTGGCATAGAATAATCATTGACGGAAACTTGGAAACTACGGAACTTTGCCCACCCACAGGAACTCTGTCCACCACAATCTTTACAGGGGAGGAAGGCAAAAATTTATATTGTGGGCAAAAGTACTCTCTCTCTCTCTCTCTCTCTCTCTCTCTCTCTCTCTCTCTCTCTCTCTCTCTCTCTCTCTCTCTCTCTCTCTCTCTCTCTCTCTCTCTCTCTCTCTCTCTCTCTCTCTCGCTCTCACACACACACACACACATGCAGTGTGGACAAACAGGTGGAGTTTCTGAACGTTCGAACGCCGCAGCAGACAACAGTGGAAATATGATTCACAATACCCAAACAGTAAACGGTATGCATTGCGTCACTAAATCATCAGGGCTTGGGATATATTGGAGATGAACATATACAAATACATGAAATTGTTCTTATAAGTTGGTGTAGTAGCCTGGGTACGACTGCACGCAATCAGCTTGTCACTGTGCCTTTCCACACTGTCCTTTTGGTGAAATGTTGCGACGGGTAAAGGATACTGCGCAGTAAATGTATCCCAGAATATATATGAAGTCTGCTGTATGTAAACTTTGTTTGTTTGTCATACTCAGCAATATTCCATCCATATGGTGGCGGTCTGGAAACAATCGAGTCTGGACTAGACAATCCAGTGATCTACAGCATGAGCATCTTTCTACGCAGTTGGGATACAATGACATGTGTCAGCCAAGTCAGCGAGCCTGACCGCGCGATCCCATTAGTCGCCTCTTACGATAAGCACGGGTTACTGAAGACCAATTATAGCCTGACAACTTGAACCCGTTAGTTGCCACGTACGGTAAGCGTGGGTTGCTGAAGATCAATTCTAACCCGGATCTTCACGGGGCGCATGCATTGTGGAATCTAATATCGCTTCCCATCAGTAGCGGCAAACAAACTTGTGTATGTATGTAAAGTGTGTGACATGACATATGTTTCATTTGTATGCCTCTAATGGATTATTTTATGCATTCCAGCTTTTAAAAAGTGTAACATCACTATCTATAGCAAGGAGACAACATCAGGTATGTACACACGATGCCACCATCTACCAAAGTGACACTGATTACCTTGATAGAACATTCAGACTGAATGTACTTAGGAATATTCAACACGTTGTCTCAAATCGCATGGTCAATGTGATAGTTATACTCTAAATGATGAATGCCATAGTTCGTGTTTATAGATACAACAGTGGTGAAATATGACATTTTTCAATGACTAATGTCGTATCGTTACTATATATATTAAGAAAAATAGTTTTTGTGTGCAAATCAAAAGTTACAAAACAAGCGAGAATCTCATGAACATACGTATGTCTTAAATGACTCTATGGCGTTACTTAATATCGTTTAAAAGTCTGTTTTGCAAATCGAGGGTTCAGCATAGTAAATGAATGATAAAGGGTCTGGTGCATTGTGTGTGTATAATTATTTTTGACACAGTTTGATATGAAATTATAAGACCAAACACTCTCTCCAAAAAGGTCTTGATTATTTTATGATCAACCGATTATGTTGGACATATTATATATAGCTTTGGATTAGCATTGAGTGTGTAGATAACTTTAATCTGATTTCTGTCATATTTCTGAACGTCAACCCATATTTATCTTGACAGTTAACAGAAGGGAGCAAGACATACCAGCTGCTGAGAGATGTCCTGGTCCAAACCAAACGTCCAGTGGGGCTGTGGCAACGCCTCGGGATTCAGATAGCTTTCCAAGTACTGGAACACTTGAACCCACGGTTTAGGAAGTTACTGAAAAGATCGATCGCATGTCATGTGGAGATATAAACCTAAAGGAAAACAATCGCCTCAAAATACAATTGATCGACATCGGAATGCCTTACCGAATGAAAGCTAAACAAAATATTGAAATAATTGTGTCATTTGCTGAAAACAATCCATCGAAACTTCGTAAAATACATTCCTTTCTGCACATGAAACATGTCAACATTACAAATTCTGTCGCTCCTTGTGCTAAACCAGTAAAAGACGTCATTTCCCATGCTGCAAACCCACTTTCTGTTGACGTTGATCTGTCAAAATTAGACAACTTGAATGCATCACTTCCGTTATTAACAAAGCAGAGCGTGGACAATATTGTATACATAGCCATATTTCAACCAGAAACAGTGATGGACATATCCAAATTTCTGTTAGGTTACTTTTGAAGTTTACAGACAGATTACTGTTACTTAGAAACTAAAGTTTAGGATGATTCAACTGTATTCATAATGGTAATCTGTAATAAATTATTTGAAATAAAGTTGGTATAAATAGCATGTGCTTTTACGTTATTGATAGTATCATCAGCGAGCTATAAAGGTTAATTTCATCTGAGAGCATTAAATAGTGTACATTTATTGTTCTCCTAATCGAAAGCTGTTACTTTGCTTTGTGGCAGTGCACATTGTAACTCTATGTATGACGAATAGTACAATTCAGTTGAGATGCTGAAGGTAAGATAGACCTGCTGTAGTTAGTCACAGGCAAACTGTAGCGCAGTTAGGGAGCGACATTGATATAAGCATGTATTATGCTTGTTTGCCAATCCCGACATAATTAACTGAATAAATATGTTTAAACCAACTGTAGTGGAAATAGGTTTGCGCAACAGAGAGAAAAATGACCAGTCTTTCTATGTGCGAGCGAAGCGAGCAAAGGTTGGCAACGTTCCTCCCTCGCTTCGGTTCGAAAATAATTTTAAAATCAAAATAAATATCGCCACCATCAAAGTAGACATCCATTTCCTCACAGGGTTGTGCTCTCAGATTTCCAACCTCTTATTTCATAATTACCCACGTAAAATATATATGATTCAACATTTTGAGCGCCACTCGCGGCATATCAAATCGTTCTTCGCCTCCATTACCCCTGCCAGCTTCTGGTTCAACGGAGAAATGGTCCAAAATCCTTTCCAGCCTTTGATACCTTCTTCAACTTCCTGGAATGGACAACTCCTCTGTGATGAACAGGTTATATTGGGATGGACTGCTAGCCTATTGCTTCTGTGCAAATTCCGTGGACACATGGTTTAGGAGTAATTGTAATGGAAATCCAACCATTTATTCGTACAATTTTCACTACAATTGTCTGTGGCAATTCAGTTTTTGAAAGGATATTACACATTATCTTCACATTTTTATTTACTCGGTTGTATTTTTTAGGAAATCCCTAAATACACCACTAATATAATGTGTTGTAAAATGTGTCCAACCGGGTAAATGCGATCAGAAGGGAGGTAACCGCAACGAAGACAAAACAAACATGTTGGAACAATGGAACGGATACTGAATTCGAACGGCTGTTTTGCTTTCTTCTAAATGTCTCCGTGTTGATATAACATTCTGAATGTCCGTATTCATTCCATTTGCAATTGTCCACGACACTTCATATTGGGTATATCTATTTTATACGTTCTCCCGTGAAGATCAGGGTTAGAATTGTTCGTCTGTAATCATTGGTTGTCGGAAGAGGCGACTAACGGGATTGAGTGGTCAGGCTCGCTGACTTGGTTGACACATGTCATCGTATCCCAATTGCATAGATCGATGCTCATGCTGTTGGTCACTGGATTGTCTGGTCCAGACTTGATTATTTACAGACCGCCGCCATATAGCTGGAACATTGCTGAGTGCAGCATAAAACTAAACTCACTCACTCACTCGTTATCCACGCGAAGTATATGTCCCGATGTGACTCAGTTATTTACAGACTGCCGCCTTGTAACTGCGGCGTTAAACAGCAAACAGCTTCAGGTCCTCGTGTAGATCCAAGTTTGAACTGGCAATTTCATAAATGGCATCGTAATAGGCGACTCGTCGAATCCCAGACCACCACCACATAGTTGGAATATTGCTGAGAGCTGGCGTTATACAACAAACAAACGAACGAAATAATATGACCTGACTTGCGTCTATCTACTTGCCCAATGCGGACGGGATTAGTATCAGAAAACACCAATGTTTTAACTTTAATTCCTTGAATCAAGAACGGTCTTCGTGACCTATCAAGACATTCAACAGAAACTAAATCTACAAACTGTGTGTAGAGATGCAAAACCTTAATATGAAAACAAAAATATGAGCGAGCTCTCAGACTCATTCACTAATCCCAGATTGTTTGGGCGTAAGCTTAAGTACATCTCATATTCGCGTCAAATTGAAAATAACATTACAGTAAATTCATGGCATGATTATTTTAAGAATCTGTTTGGTTGTGACTCCAGTGTGACTACCTCTGACTTCGTGGAAGATGATAACAGCTCACTAATACCTGTTAGTCAGACACAGGACATAACTAACGGTATATTCAGTGCATCAGTTAGAAAGAGCGAAATCCAGTCAAGCATTAATAAACTTGAATATCATTAGGCTGCTGGGGAAGACCTCGTAATCATTTTTAACACACTGTACGATAATAGATAATTTCCAATAAAATGGGCAAAGAAATAATTGTGCTAATTCATAAAAAAGGTGATAAAAAACCCAGAAAATTATCACGCTATTTCCCTCCGAAGTATCTTGTGTTACGTTTAATGTATGTTGTCATCATGTATGTTGTTTTTACGAACAAACCGCTCAAAGACACTTCAAACACAAATCATTAATCATTGAGGTAGTAACATTTTAATTATGTGACGTTTTCAACCTGCTGAACATTTACATGCAACAAGCATGTTACTGATGAAACACGTCAGAATACTGTTGCCCAAACGCTGCATCATTCTCATTCTGTCATCAGGGTGGGACCGATAGAGTTCTCTACACATAGCGATGATCGACACCGCTGTGGATGTCCATAGGTAACCATTTTAGCCCCGTAATTTGTCAGATAAGTCAGGACGGTGGCGTAAGATACTCGGTTGCAAACTGCAACTCAGAAGATGGACGGGTTGCCACAGTCCGTTGGTGTCTTGACGCTGACAGAGATCTGGTAAGATGGCAACTACATGCAGGGTGTTCTCTTCTTGCCTGCAGGTATTGTTTAAGTATTAAAGTCAGTGGACCGTACTAATCCTTAGAACGATGGAAATTAAGGCTATAGTCTGTATTAGAAATGCATGCATGCCAGCAAATAAGGAGAAACGGTAACGATTATCACATTTTGTTTATTGCATATAACACCCGTAAATGCAATAAATACACAAATATGAATCATTTGACAAATATGGAGACATTTTCAATTTTACTGATATTGCAAATAACATCAACAAATACACAACCTTTCTTACAGCATCTCCACTGGACAGTTTGGTTTCTTCTTAATTTCACTCGAATCTAATAACCATTGAATACTAAACTCTGGCCACCCCAGGAATTGGGAACAAATTTTACAGTGTCTTTGTCATTGTAGAATCACTTGTAAACTAAATTGTTGCTTTATAACCCCCATGCCTCATGTCATATTTGATTACTTTCAATGACAGAAAGCAGTACATTATGAACTGTGTTCAGTGTGGTCAATGAGTGAACTTGGTGGTGAGTGAACTCCTCTTACTCGAACGTGCATGACGTCATTCCGCAGCTCACTGGTCGTCATCCGAATCCGCGACGTCAGTGGTGTCGGGAACAGCATGATAGTTATGACAGACACCTATTACCGCTGCATTTATCTCCGAAAAGCTTGCTTTGAAGATTTTTGGAACCTGACTCGTAGACGACCAAATCGCTACATTTTCGCGTTGGACATCACTGTGTCAACACCCGTGACGTAGTTCCTGCGTATGTCACTTGGGTGGCACGCCATTCCATGTGGCTGTAAACAACCACACTCTTGTTCCATCCTGCTGATGCTATCGTATCCCAATTGCGTAATATCGATGATAATGCTGTTGATCACTGGACCAAATAGCTGGAATATTGCTGAGTGCGGCGTAAAACAACAATCAAACAGTCATCATGTTGTTGGTCAGTTTCTGTCGCGGGAGTCTCTGTCCACTTGGATTCACCAACACTATCTCTCCATGCCCGATTACTATCAGTATATCTCTTTCCATGCTTCAGAAACCTTACCTGAAAATGTAAAGCAGAAAATGTCTTCAGTTGATATTTTTAATTGTATATATTTTAAAATTGGTCTGAAATAGTAGAAATGACATATGCCTAAACACGTTAAACAATTAATCCGTTTTGCTCTTCACAGGCCAGTGGTGAAGTGAATAAAGGTTGGGAGCTTGGTTCCTTGGCGTCATGTAAAAAGAACGCCTACCTCACGTTCGGCATTATGAGGATAAACCAGCTGGACAGTTCCAAGTAAGTAACCAATATCAGTCTGGTTCCCTGGGTATGCTGCGCTGGTGCTTTAGGAATGCATAATACCAAATAATAATAATAATAATAATAATAATAATAATAATAATAAATGCATATTTATAATGCGCCCTTTCCACACCCTAAGGCATGCTCAAAGCGCTACAGAATATTTACACTGGAGTATTTACAGTTGAAGTTATACGTAATATACTGAGAAAAGGTGGGTTTTAAGTCTGGACTTAAAAATGTCAATTGTGGCAGAGCTTTTAAGGGCACATGGGAGAGAGTTCCAAAGCACAGGCGCGGAGTAAGAGAATGATCGGTGTCCGAAGGATTTCAGTTTGTAGGATGGGATGACCAGTCGGTTTTGTGTGTTTGAGCGCAAGTTGCGTGCGGGGACATACGGATGTAGGAGTTCAGACAAGTAGGAGGGAGCCAAACCATGGAGGCACTTGTATGTCAGACAGAGGATCTTAAAGTCAATTCTGGCCCTAACTGGTAGCCAATGCAGTTCTTTCAACACTGGTGTTATATGGGAACGTTTAGAAGTCTTGCTGATGATGCGGGCGGAAGTATTTTGGATCTTCTGAAGCTTATCAAGGAGTTTAGAACTGAGGCCTGAAAGGATGCTGTTACAGTAATCAAGCCTAGATGTAACAAGAGCTCGAACAAGGGCTTGAGTTGCAGCAGTTGTCAGGTATTGCCGAATGTTACCAATGGATCTTAGGTGAAAGTAGCAGGTCCTGCTCAGACGGTTAACATGAGCATCCAGAGTCAAGGAAGAGTCGATGTGGACACCCAAGTCCTTAACCACATCAGAGAATCTGACGTCAGAGTCTGCGACTGTAAGGGTGTCGGTTTTGACCTTGCTGAGTTGTTGCTTTGTACCAATGAGAACTGCTTCTGTTTTTGTGTCATTAAGTTTAAGCATGTTTCCTGTCATCCAGCACTTGATGTCCTGCGTACATTCAGCGATGCACTGAAGAGACGTAGATAGATCTGACAGATGAAATGCTTTCAGGAGCTGGGTGTCATCAGCGTAGGCATGATGAGAAACTGTGTGGTCTGTAGTAATCCTTCCGACATATCCGGTATACAACACAAACAGGATTGGACCAAGGACTGATCCCTGTGGCACCCCACATGTGATAACAGTGCCTTTTGATCTCTCAGTGCCAACAACAACAGATTGCTGTCGGTCAGACAAATCAGATCCCGTAGTTGAACAAGCACGTTTCGTAGCCTTCAGTGCACACAGAATCATCTGACAGCTGTGATTGGATGATTTTGTTTTGCAACATTGTTTAAAATATACATCCATCCCATAATTAAACCGACCATATATTTTATAACAGTGACTTATGCTGAATCTGTGCAGAGATATGTTCAAGTTAGTGACATTTAGTGCTGAACTGGGGTTGGTGTGTTGTACTCTGGAAAACAGTTAGCTCAGTACAACACACCAACCTGTATGGAAGCTTCAGCAGTGAAGCGCATGCGCAGCATATCCTGGGAACCAGTGTCTCGGTGGAGTAAACAAGATAAGATTGCAGCATGTGACCTCAGTGGGCTAACTAACACACCTCTTTTCTTCGATTCAGGGGTATCCCAGACAGGACATTGATCTAAGTCTATCACTAACGCTCACACTATTACCACTTTATTCCGTATAATCCCTCGACTGCCCCAGTGTCACTGTGGCGATTCTGGTTGGAATTGTTCCCTAAAATGCTGGCGCCCGAACCACAAAACGCTCGTAGCACTACGTCATTCGTAATCTTATGATCAACTACACAGCTACGATAGCTCGTAAAACTACGAACGCTTTGTGGATCGGAACTCAGGTCGTACGAAGCTATGATCGGGTGATCAGTCAAGGTGACCTGGCGATATGGTGGCACGTAACTGTACCATGGCGGTGTGGATCGCCGGATTGTCTGGTTCATACTTGATTATATACAAGCAGCCATGTAGAGCAGTGTTACACACCAACAAACGTACAGAAAGAGCTGTGGGAGGTGTATTCCTGACGACAAACGTAGTCCCAGGAGTCTGTACTAGGCGGTTCTAATTGTTCTATGTAGCTGCGTCTTCCACTCGGGCTCATACCTGTTGGAAGTTGAAAAACAATCGTAATTATTCTAATGCCCCAAACTGCAGGTAAAATTTCCACATAACATACTTTAAAGCAATATATCTACGCGAATACAGACCAGACTATCCAGTTATTGTCATCATGAACTCTCACAGATAAATATATAATTTGTACAACTGCCATACGTAAATTGCTACTGAGGTATAAATATGAAGCTGTACGTACAGTAGTTTAGGTCCATGTCAAACTGGACCCTGTACACGCCATCTTGGGGGGCAAGGCCTGTGGTTCGGGATTCATCTGGCCGTGTGGTGTGTGCCCGCATCGTTGTAATGATTATACCTACAGAACAGTTCATGAAAATGTGTTTGTAAACCTTACATGCAATAAATTATAATGACATTAACCTTTTGGAATGGAATCACATCTAGCAAACGTGATCGTGGCTTTGATGTCACTAAATATTTGCATATGTGTACAAAGCGATCTTAGCGCTAAGGTGACCCATACCTTAACGTAGACTTAAGGCAGTCATTGCGCTAAGGTTGCTTTGTACAACAGAACCCCTGTTAACACGACCTTCATTCAACGCACATGACGATTTCCCTTGTTACGGTTAAATATTTGCCGTGACAAAATGTTTAAGAATCCCCTTTGAACCAGCAAAATATAACACAGACAAGTCTAAAATATTCAATAATATATTGAGCAAGCAATGAGCAAGCTACAATGAATGACAATAAAGATATTTAGTACAATGCAATTGAGTCACAAATCTAAAGTAATGGGTCACAAATATGAAATATTAACTCACCAGAGTCTTGGCATTTACAGTGAGAGCAGATATACTAATTGAAGCTTGTTTACAATGAGAGCAGTTTTTAGGCAGGCAGTTTTGAATGTAGGTCAGACGATGGCAGACAGATATGAAAAGTCCGGTGTAATTCCGTGTGTGTGTGTGAACACAATAACCAGCCCTTATATATAGTGACAGTGTCTAGAACATTCGAGTAAAGCGTGGCTGTATCATTATTATCTCAGAATTCTCGCGAGTGGCGGAAGTCAAAAGATTGTCAAGGGCAGGTAACTCTGGAGGGCTATCAAAAAGGCGTACCGCTAAAAATAGTATTGCCATTGAACATATATGATGCGAAATGTGACCCACAACCCACACTCAAAACTTTAAACATTGTGACCCATAATAACTATCACCTAATGAGTGATTACAAATTACAAAAAACACTCTCGTAAAACCCTTAAAACATTAGCATTCTAGTAGCTAGTGTTTTGCTACGACGAATCGGTGTATAACATGTGTGTAACATGGTTGATTTTGTGTTAAACATGACACTTCAAATTGACGCTGTCTGACCTTCACGCGTGAATTTATTGGACGTCGTGATTGGCTGATATATTGCTCACTGCCGCATAAATAACCATTCACTCAATAGCAAAATATTTCTGTTTCACTCACATGGTGTAGGGTCTTCTGTGCTATCCTGACATATGGAGAGATCGGCAATTGATGCTGGTCCATTAATGCTGTTAGGGATGGCGGTCGCAACTGCATCTAGGGATCAATTAAATGTGTACAGTGAGATTGCATTAAACGAAAACATTGACATTAACATTTGCATATCGACTGTACATATCTGGCAAATTTTAACATGGTTGTGATGTCACTAAACATCATATGAATATGCAGTGCATGTTTTATGTCCCCGGCAAATTAGTCATATTCCAGAACCTATTGCTTGCTACGACGAATCAGTGTACGACAATAACAGTGTGTAACATGACTGATTTTGTGTTAAACATGCACTTGTGCGTGGTTCAAAATGACGCTCTGACGTTACGTCTGACCTTCACTCGTGTATTTATTGGACGTCGTGATTGGCTGGAACATTGTTCATTACATCATAAGTAACCATTCACTCAATAACAGAATGTTTCTGTTACACGTACATGGTGGGGGATCTTCTCTGCCATATGGACATATGGAGAAATCATCAGTAGATGCCGGTCTATTGATGCTGTTAGGGTTGGCGGTGGCAACTGCATCTAGGGATCAAATGTGTACAGTGGGACAAGTGCTGTACGGTCAGTCAATGGTCAGTCAGGTGAAACAGGTACTGCTTGGATCAAGAATTGCAGAGATATTTTGTTCTGTGTTTCCCATCTCGCGTTTCCCATTGAAAAAACCCAATGCTTTCTAATCTTCGTTATAAACAGGAAGTATATGTCCCGATGTGCTAAAAAAATATACTCTTACCCTTGAACACTCATAAACAAAAAGATCAGCTGGATATTTCCTTATTGAATATTTTTGAAGGAAAAATTTATACCGAAGCAAAGTCTCTTGATTATTTACAACATAAATTAATTTATGGGTGAAAAGTGAAAAAGTGAAAAAGTCAATACTAATAAACTTTCCACTTGTGGGGTATTACCAAGTGATATAAATTTTAAAAATTCAAAAATTATGCTACAAAATTAGTGAAAAATATTTTATATATTTTCGTCCCCCGCCGCGATTCTTGTTAACGCGATATCTCATGAACTGTTGTACCCAATGTCTTCAAATTTGGTGACGATTACACAGACACCAGTCCATCTGGGTGAACTTGGCCTTATTTTCAAGGTCACGACGACACTTTGCCCACTTTTATACTCTTGTTAACATGATATCTCATGCACTCTGGTACCCAATATCTTCATATTTAGTTACAGCTTACATTGAGGGATTACACAGACACCAGTCGATTTAGGTGACCTTGTCCTTATCTTCCAGGTCACCATGACACTTTGATCACTTTTCAAACGGACGTAATCGCGATATCTCATTAAACGTTGCACCCAATGTCTTCCATTATGTCGACAGCCTACATTAGGTAATTACGTCGACACCAGTCATTTCAGGGTGACCTTGACCTTATTTACAAGGTCGCGTGACATTTTTCAAAATCTCGCCCGTCTCAATGCCCGGACCCGTTATATCGTTAACTACTAGATTAAACAAATGTAATATGTTATTCTTTCATGGTTAAAAGGTTGTATTGTCTTTGAAGATTTAGATATAATTTACAGTCATATTGAAACACTCGAAATTTTATCCTCTAGGCTGAAGAATATATTACCATTTCTTACAAATTTGATGACAGGAATTAACATTATGGGTATCATGGTAGGGTAGGGTAATGAGGGGTGGGGTCCCCGGGTAGAAAATTTGGACCCGTCCCGGCCCTAATGCACCCTGATACTGACAGTGGATGTGTGCATCTGGGTATATACATTCAAATCTACTATAAGCCTGAAATATCTTCAGAGTTACATACAGGTTGAGGTTTGAGAAGAAAAAGTAGTCATATTTACATTGCGGAAAGCGCCTTTCCATATATAGTTAAGGGCAAATATAGATGCTCCTTGTTGTTTTGATAAAGATTACTTACCATGCATGATATAGTCAACATCCGTTTCAATCGGGCGATTGTGGCATATCACTGGGTAATGAATGTTTGAACCGACAATACCTAAAGAGTTCAAGGAAATAAGTTACACAGGTACATGGTAGTTCCAGCATGTTGACAGTGGACGAAACCTGGGACTACATCTGTATAACAAAGGTTGATTGTAGTGTTTAGTTCCACTATGTCGAAATAGTACCGTTGCTGTGGTCAGACTCGCTGGCTTGGTTGACACATGTCATCGGTTCCCAATTGCGCAGATCGATGCTCATGCTGTTGATCACTAGATTGTCTGGCCCAGACTCGATTATTTACAGACCGCCGCCATATAGCTGGAATATTGCTGAGTGCGGCGTACAACTTAACCAACTCACTCACTACCATTTGATTCTAGTTAATGAGTAAGTGAATATTGTTTAACGCCATCAGCAGTCAGCAATTTTCAGCTATTCGCGGTGATCAAGATGAAGAGACTGTTGGCTGATACAATGCAGTGAGCAACAAGATTTAGCGGTTTTCTCCATGCCATCAAATGGACTGACTACAAATCAGCCGTTCATATTCGGTAACAAAACAATAAATAAACACACAGCAAAATACTGTTGTAAGATACAACTGTCTGTTGTTCGTTATACCCATAGTTCGTTTCTGGCGGTTGTACTAAACTATACAAGTGGTCGGGACTAGAAATACAATTCGTTATATCCAACAGTTCGTTATATGCGTGTCCTGTTATCGTAGTTTACTATTTTTTAAACCTAAGGATTAAATCAAAAACATGTTTTTATTCATTAAAAATCGGCCTTGTATCAAATAATTATTCTCCGTGCCTAGATGTTGGTCAGTAGGGGGAAGTGTTGAACAAAGGGAATGGGCGGGGGGTCGGGGTGCGGGGTCCTGGACCCACCTGCTCCTGCGGGGCTGTGTGACATTGGCGTCCTACGTGAAGCGTCCTCTAGGACCCCTCCTTGGTCTCTAGCGTTGAGGCTGTGGAAACTTGTGTCAGAGTACAGGACAGGCTCGTATAGTGAACCTATAATAGAACGTAGGACATAACATGCCCATTTGTTACCTCAAATACTAAAATACAGTCAAATACGGCTGTGTCGAAGTTGAAGGAACCTACATAAATACTTCGAGTAATCCAAGGTTCGACACAACCCCATATTACTTTTATTTCGAGATAACCGCAAATTGAGACTTTATTATGAATACGCTTGGACCAAGCTTTTTTTCGAGATAACCGTACATTCAATATTATCAAATGTCGACACAACCGTGGCTGACCATACCAACAAACCCAGATGCAAAGACAGATCTTGCCATATATTCCATTGACAAGGAGAGTGAATGATATAGTTTTATTCAGATTTTAGCACTATTCCCCAAGAACACACAGGGTACCCCGGTAATGGATTTTACACATGTATACGGTACCCACGTGAAGCATCAAACCTGCGTCATCAGCGAGACTTTAACCTCTGGAGCACCGCCTCGATGAACGCCTGTGGCGTTGGAATTCGGTAGGTTTAATGGATAAAATTCTTTGACCAACTTTAAGTCTACAAGATGTCCTGAATCTGTTTTGTAATTGACATTATTTTTGCTGACCTAATTCTGTTCTTAATGCGTGGGGGATCGTGAGCCATATAGAAGTATTTTGTTAACGTACATGAACGCTCTGCCTCTACGTGACTAGTGTCTGGGTCTAAGGTTTTCCTGAACGTCAGACTCTCGCCATGGTCATCATCCGCTTGGCTGCCGATACTGCTGCTGCCATCTACCATCTTACCTGTAGAGGAAATGAAAATCCGGATAAGACACACTTTGCAATACATTTATGACAAAGAAATCGATATATTGAATAATGCATTGCCATTATAGACAAATAATATACTTCAGATCACCTTACTTTGCGTTTCCTTCAATTACGAAATATGACAAGGTGAAAAACCTTTTTATGAGTAAAACGATCATTTGTTTCTGAATCATGCCTCTGTGTCACTTGTGATGCTCCTGACTTTTCGGAATGGTAATACGTTGGTTTAAGCAGTTTAAAAGTATGTTTGCTTGTGTGTCGGGTACAAGAGGAATTATGCATTCTGAACTTACAGATGTATAAAACTAAAACAAGTCAACTATGGTGTGGGGATAGAACAAGGTGGTTCTTCCCTTATTTCGAGTTGTATCCATATACAAGGACGGACAACATGGCAGCATGGCTTGATATATTAAACTGAACAATTAACTATATTTGATGGTGTGACACACAATTTTCACACACACTTTAACATAGTTTTAACATTTTGACCGTTTTACAAACGATTGTGATGTTCCTTTGTCTTCTAAACTTACGAAAGGTTGTGTCTTCAGGTAAAACATCATCTGTCCTATCGAAAATGGCGACTGTGTCCTCCAAAGAGTGAGAAACAAAAGACTTGTTTCCCATACTGTAACACGTTACAGCTGTGGAAAGATGAAAAACAGTGTCAACATGAGACACCAATACATTTAAATACCTATATAATACTTCAAACTCTTCCGGGTTAAAATTGGTCTTCAGCAACCCATGCTTGTCACAATAGGTGACTAACGCGACGGAGTGATCAGGCTCACTGACTTGGTTGACGCGTGTCATCGTATCTAACGATGTATGCCGTATTGTGTGATCGATGCTCATGATCAAAATGTCAATCACCGGATTGTCCAGTTCAGATTTGATTATCTATTCATACATACATTATGCTTTATATGCTTTACAGTGTAAATATTGCAGAGTGCGGCGTTAAATTTCAAAAGCAAACAAACCGATGTAAATACGTTTGGACCTACAAATGGGTTGACTGACTCACACTCGGGTGGTAGCTCGCTGGTGAAGATGTTGGCAATTCCGATGAGGCTGTTGCTGTTGCTGCTACCGTCTGGATGGGATACGTGAGTCAGACTCAGACCTGTTGAATGACATTCTCATGTGGCAGTTGGTGACATTTAATGTTCCATGTACAGGGGTGGAAATAACTTTAAAATTGCTAGTGTACTCTGGTACAGTGACACATTTATAATCACTTGCCCTGATAATTTTTCCACTATACCGGCCTTTTTCTTGTTGTTTTTTTAAATAAACATAACATTGGAAAGTCAACTGGACACCGGTACAGCGTGATATACAAATTTGCTTGCCCGACAGATAAAAACACTGGACTCGGACGTCGGGCAATGGGTTATTTCCACCCCTGCATTTCACATGCAGTCACGTGTCGAATATATAATGGTATAGGCATTACAGTACTTGATCCAATGTGCGCACGTAACTACATGTAAAGAAAAACGAAAAAAACTTTCCGTAATCATAAGAATCTCAGCTCAAAGCTCAGTCCGGAGTTACTGGACAATTCCGAAGTTACACGAGCTGCTTATCGCGGTATCAAACACGTTGGTGTTCTTGAACAATATAAATGCAATATGAACTTTCGAATACACAATCTTACAAATGAGGCATGTAAGCACATGGTTCGACACATCTGGCCTTCAATAATACCTTTGTGTTTATCCTGAACATCCTACAAGTACACTACATTACTTCGAGACATCTAACTGGGTGGGTATTTTTTTTTGTCCTGTTTCAACATGTAAAGGTGGAATGCGTGTCCCCACATCATGGTGAATAGGTGGAACGAAGTCTTGAGAATGAACTCACTTTGGGAGATGTCATCTTTCAGAGACAGCGGACAGGTATAAAGGCTGTTTTGATCGTCAACTGGATGAGTTCGAAGCCAATTGCCACTGATCCTGGTGTACCTCGCACCTGTTGAACAGACCACAGTGTGTAAGTATTTCCAATATGAAACATTGCTAGTTCCTACTCATGATAACGCATGAAACTAGAGACATTCATACACAGAATACTCCCCCTTGATCATAACCATCGTCATGGAACAAGGAAGTAATCTTTCAAGCTATGAAAGTGTAGTTTACACTTTTGTAGTGAGTTATCTCCCTTTCACCAAGAAGACGAATCATGACCGTAGCCAATAAAGAGGGTTTGAGAGTAACAAAGTGTGTCAAATCCTGGTTCGAATCCCAGATCCAAAACACGTCATCGTTTCCCAGTTGCGTAGATCGATGCTCATGATGTTGATCACAAGATTGTGTGATCCAGACACGACTAGATACAGACCGCTACTATATATCTGGTATATTGCTACAGTCCGTTTGGCTCAAATGCGGACCGATGAATTGCAATCTAACTCGAAAACTAAAAAACATAACATACTCAATGAAACGCTGATCCTAATCAAAACATCATACCCACTCTGTGAGGTTTTTGCAGAATTTTTGTCCTAAAAATAATAAAGTTGTTTAACAAACTATCATTAAAATATTGACACAGCCAGGTGTTCGAGAAGCACGTTCACAGACAAAGTTATTTATTCATTAACCTGTGCTGTGCCGTCTCCATCCGTTCTCGAACACCTGGTTGTCCCTTTCTCTGCACTCCTTCCTCGTAACAAACAGTGAACTGTGTCAATATTTTAATGATAGATTGTTAAACAACTTTTTTATTTTTAGGACAAAAATTCTGCAAAAAAATCACAGAGTGGGTATGATTTTTTATTATGATTAGCGTTTCATTGAGTATTTTATGTTTATTAGTTTTCGAGTTAGATTGCAATTCATCGGTCCGCTTTTGAGCCAAACGGACTATAAGTGCGGCGTTAAACAACAACAAACAAACAATTATATCTTGATTGTAGACCAGATCACATTGACTTGGCACCGCAATCGGTTTAAAGTAATGGGTGGATGTGACTGGTCAACAGGGGGATACGGAAGTGTCATAATCCGAGTTGCCTTGTTCAGCAAGAGTGGAACTGGACTTCTAAAGGAGGTTAACCCCATTGCCTCCAGAAGAGAAATTCGTATCAGAAGAAGGATGGTCAGATAATTACATAAGCAAAGATTTACTTACTTTCGATGCTGGTAGCCTTCTGTGGATATGCTTCCAGGCTGATCTCTGCACTGGTGTCCTCCTCGGGGTGTGTCACGTGACACTTGCTGAGTTTCTTACTTGTGGCTTCCTCATCTGATAATGCAAAGATACCGATGACAGATTGTTGGGGACAAAGTTGATTTAACTAAAAAGGAACGATTTGTCAATAAAATACAAGACCAAGTTCAGATCAAGATAAACTTAACGTACACGGAGTTAGGTCAATAGTTCTGTGAGATAAAGTCTCGTAAGAATACATCTCGTGAGATACAGCGAGACAAGCACTTATGTCGTCTTCGGGATGAGCGACGAAGCTATTGTCACTGATGCGGGGCTTTACGGTACCTGGAACATATAGAAAACGACATGACAAAGACTTCATGCGATTACATTTAGTCCAACGCCCAATCAAATTTACTTTAAGTCGCATTTCTTTAATTTCATATTATGCGAGTAGGCAGGAATAATCTACGTTATGTAGTCTCCCTGGTGTGGATGAGGGCTCTCTCCATTGCGTAGCATGTACGTTACAATAAAAATTATGTCATACAACACCAACATAGAGCTGGGTCCAAGCTCATGGAGGATCTCGAACTGACATCTGACTGTCTCGAAAGCATGTGACTCTCAATTGTGCAAGGCTCCTCCATGACAAGTGAGGGGTGAAGATGTGTGTGCCCTACTGAAAATTGATAATACGATTGAGATTAACATCCCAATGGGATTAACATTAATGTTTATCTACCTGATTCTGAATTATTATATAACTGTTATATCTGTTCTGAGAAAAAGCGTTTAATTACATCACTAATGTTTCCATCTCCTATCTCTGTATTCAATGCGAAAGCATATGCTGGGCTGTGATGTGGTAGGCCGAGTACAGTGAAACTGTATGGACCTTCTGAATACACTGACACTTAATCTACTAATGGTCGGTAACTCTACTGCTATGTTGAACATTGTAACTTAAGTGCAGCCGGTAGGTACCTTGACTGCACTATCAACTGCTGTGACACTTGAAGTACAGTGCCTCTGTGCCGCACTATTGAATAATGCCTATCGTAACGTACCCTATCCACAGATGACTGTAGCTATATTGCGTCACTGAATATTTACGTACAGTGGATCAGTAACTGAACCGCAATATTGAATACTGGCACACTTAACGTACAGCTGGTAGGTAGCGACACTTAACGTACAGTTGGTAGGTACCAACACTTAACGTACAGTTGGTAGGTACCAACACTTAACGTACAGTTGGTAGGTACTAACACTTAACGTACAGCTAGTAGGTACCAACACTTAATGTACAGCTGGTAGGTAGCAACATTTAACGTACAGTTGGTAGGTACCAACACTTAACGTACAGTTGGTAGGTAGCAACATTTAACGTACAGCTGGTAGGTAGCAACACTTAATGTACAGTTGGTAGGTACCAACACTTAATGTACAGTTGGTAGGTACCATCATTTAACGTACAGTTGGTAGGTAGCAACATTTAACGTACAGCTGGTAGGTACCAACACTTAACGTACAGTTGGTAGGTACCAACATTTAAAGTATAGCTGGTAGGTAGCAACACTTAACGTACAGCTGGTAGGTACCAACATTTAACGTACAGCTGGTAGGTACCAACATTTAACGTACAGTTAGATGGAGGAGTCCTTGCAGGCTCTGGACTAGTTCGGTTGGTGTTCCCCGTGTCCCCGCATGGTTGAAACTCATTCATTAAGTGTGCTATATCTGGGAAAAAAACAGCGCCATTATATCAGATTACACACTAACATCTACCAGTAGTCCTGTCAGAAGGAGTTGGAATTTTGACGCTTAATATGAAATTTGTACGTTTGGACAATTTCAATGTAATAGTTTTAGCCTCGTATTGTGTCAGAAGCTTTAGCTTCGCCACGCGGGGTGTTTAGAACACCCTTACCCCGATAATGCACTGCATCTCGGCCTCATTATGGTATACAGTGAGAAGTGTGCCTACCCTCGCCACGGTTCAGAGCCCTCAGACAGGATATAACGACCTCCCCTCGGTCTTCCGATGTCGGCTGGTACACTGGAAGTTTTTATCAAGGTTTAATGACCACAAACTATATTTGTGTACCAATTTATGAATAAATGTATCATAGTGTAATAGTGTAATTGCAAGCAATGTATATGTGTGTGAGGACAAAAACACAAACCAATATGGACGCACATGTTTATATATGCACAATCACAAATTTTCATATATACACAATAACAAATGTTCATATATTCCAAATCACAAATTTTCATACATACACAATTACACATGTTCAAACATAGACAATCACACATATTCATATATACACAATCACACGTATTCATATAAACACTATCACACATGTTCATATATACAATTTCACACATGTTCATATATACAATATCAGTCATTTCATATAAACACAATTACACATGTTCAGATAAACAAAATCACAGGTGTTCATATATACACAATCACACGTTTATATATACAATATCACACATGTTCAGATAAACACAATCACACGTGTTCATATATACACAATCACACATGTTCACATATACAATATCACACATGTTCATATAAACACAATTACACATGTTCATATAACACAATTACACGTGTTCATGTATACACAATCAAACATGTTCATACATACACAATCACATATGTTCATATAAACACAATCACACATGTTCATATATACACAATCACACGTGTTCATATATACACAATCACACGTGTTCATATATACACAATCACACATGTTCATATATACACAATCACACGTGTTCATATATACACAATCACACATGTTTACATATACAATATCACACATGTTCATATAAACACAATTACACATGTTCATATAACACAATTACACGTGTTTATGTATACACAATCAAACATGTTCATACATACACAATCACATATGTTCATATAAACACAATCACACATGTTCATATATACACAATCACACGTGTTCATATATACACAATCACACGTGTTCATATATACACAATCACACATGTTCATATATACACAATCACACGTGTTCATATATACACAATCAAACATGTTCATATATACACAATCACACGTGTTCATATATACACAATCACACGTGTTCATATATACACAATCACACTCTTTTATATATACAATATCACACGTGTTCATATATACACAATCACACGTGTTCATATATATACAATCACACATGTTTACATATACAATATCACACATGTTCATATAAACACAATTACACATGTTCATATAACACAATTACACACGTTCATGTATACACAATCAAACATGTTCATATATACACAATCCCACGTGTTCATATATTCACAATCACACATGTTCATACATACACAATCACATATGTTCATATAAACACAATCACACATGTTCATATATACACAATCACACGTGTTCATATATACACAATCACACGTGTTCATATATACACAATCACACGTGTTCATATATACACAATCACACGTGTTCATATATACACAATCACACGTGTTCATATATACACAATCACACGTGTTCATATATACACAATCACACATGTTCATATATACACAATCACACGTGTTCATATATACACAATCACACGTGTTCATATATACACAATCACACGTGTTCATATATACACAATCACACGTGTTAATATATACACAATCACACGTGTTAATATATACACAATCACACGTGTTCATATATACACAATCACACATGTTTACATATAAAATATCACACATGTTCATATAAACACAATTACACGTGTTCATATAACACAATTACACACGTTCATGTATACACAATCACACATGTTCATATATACACATCCCCACGTGTTCATATATTCACAATCACACATGTTCATACATACACAATCACATATGTTCATATAAACACAATCACACATGTTCATATATACACAATCACACGTGTTCATATATACACAATCCCATATGTTCATATATACACAATCACACATGTTCATATATACACAATCACACGTGTTCATATATACACAATCACACGTGTTAATATATACACAATCACACATATATACTCTCTCTGACACACACCATACACCACACCTCCACCTCCCCTCACACCTGAAAGCAACCGTAGGTTTAGCTGCGTCTATTGTTTGGCATTCAGTAAGCTAAATATACCCTGCAGATCAGCTCAGACTGGGGCGCTATTCATTCGGCAATACACACATACACAACCGAAACTACTCGTGGGTTGCTTCCGGCTAATTCCATAAGCAAACAGTTCACTGAACGCAGTCAGATTGTAAACACTATACAAATGTGGGTCACAAGAGCCACCCAAACATCCAACCACGTACTTTGAAAGGCTTGCATGATATTTCTGGGCAACTGGGCATGGATTAGCGATTTTGAAAACATTGCAGCTTTCACAAAGATTAATATGTGAGAACACTTTAATCGCCTCGTTCAATACATTTTATCCATTTTCTCATTTGTACATCCAACTCAAAGGATGTTTTTTATTCCTCAACAGACGAATTATTAGATGAGTACAGCTATTGTTTGACTGTATTTTCTGTTTTCCTTTTTTAATGTACACCTTGAAAAAGCAACAACAAAAAACAAAAACAACAACAAACAAACACTTCTTTGTTGTCATGTACTCCGGCAATATAGAGGACTCGCTGTATAGCATTCTTAGATTGTGGAGACTGAAAGGCTTACTGCGATATGTTTGTTTCAGACAAGACAAAGTATAGTAACGTCTTTAAAAAATAATATTTATTTGTCATATTTGTGTAAAACATCAGAATGAAATTCAACTTTGGGTGTTTATATCTGAGGATATTACTTTTGGACCCCTCCCCGCATCAAACAAACGGGAGTACACACGGTTGAAATGCACGTTGGTGTTTCCCATCCCTCCATTGACAGTCGCTGCAGTGTTCGCCGTTCCCACGGTTCCATCTGCCACCCCGACGATGCTGCCTATTGGTAGAAACAGACCACATTGGAAGAACAACCACGTCTTGTTACAAACTGATGTTCCGTCATAGAAAGGGGGTTGGGAAGTCCCATCTTTCGGGGGAAAGACTTCCGCCCGTATCCCCCTTAAATTTCATTCTAGTCAAATCATATCACCTGAATGTATATACATATACATATATTCCTCATCTGATAAGGATGAGTTTTAACAAGTTTCTTTAATTGTATCTGAACATACTGAAATACATATCCAACTTCTGAAAATGCCACTCTAACGATTTTTTCCTCATCGTTAAAATTTAGGGCGATACGGGCGGAAGTGTTACCAAGACGTCAAATGAATACATGGTTAAACCTGGTAATGTTACATAATTCGAAAAATTTAATTACCTGATACAGCTTTGGTGAATAAATACTTGACGACATATAAGTATTAATCGGAAATTCCGGAACAGTAATCTTATTTTTAAGAAAATGAAATGAAAACAATATCAATGTCACCACATTTAACAAAGAGATTTGTCACAATTGATTAAGACAGATTAATTTATTAAAATGTAAGAATTCCGTAATACTGTATTTCATATAGGCCTTTGTACAAAAGATAAAATGACGAGTGAGTATGATTTTCGCCGCTTTTAGCAATATTCCAGCAATATCACGGCGGGGGTTAAAGTGACGACACTTCAGACAGATTTAATGTGACGCAATGGCAAAACATGTTACGCAACTACGTCATGTACAACAGATATACAAACAAATTTAACAATGATCCATGTATATGTTGATACAGCTGACCTGTCAAACTTGATACTCGCTGTAATCATGTCCAAATATCGGATTCGTATTACAGTACATATATTTCTGTCCACATGGCAAAATGGATGTTTTATTGATTCAAATGCACGATCAGCCCTCATGATAACATGAGAAACTATCTGCAAATTTTAATTCATTTAGCTCCCCTAGCTGGGGGTGCCAATTCCCATGAATATAAGAGTCAATTGATGGTCTCCAATGGTTACTGTTAGGTTTTGACCATCATTGACAACTAAGGATTGAATGGAGCTTGGTTCCTACCATGCCATAAAACCAGGTTCGAATCTAAAGTAACCTTAACACAATTTGTGTATAGCAGTTCGTATGATAATCATTGGACAAACGAAACTTACCAAATTCAACAGCGTTAATTTCCCGATGCCTCAGTATACACCCAGTGCGTCTTGATATCCTGACATACTGTTTCCTTGCTGACCTCTGTAATTCCTCCAGAGAAGATATATGTTGAATGTTGATCAGCTCCCTAATGGCGGGAAGAAGCCCGTTATAAACAAGATCTATAGCTTCCGGGGTTCGGATTATGTCTGACTGGAGTATATATGTCAACTTCTGGTGAAGATAATCCTCTATGGACTCATCTGGTGCCTGCCTTCTGGACTCTAAATCTCTTTGTAACCCAGCTGGGTCAATATTAACCCGATAGAAATGTTCCTTGAATACTCTTTTCAGAGTGTTAAATCTTGCTGTGTCTTCCTCTTGCAGAGAATGGTACCAGCACTCGGCACTTCCTGATAAATGTTGTCGAAATTGTCGAACGGCTTCATCGTCACTCCACTGCATTAAGTGACTAAAGTCTTCAAATTTTCTCATCCACAGTTCTGGGATGAGTACCCTCTGAGAACCGTCAAACACAGGTAAACGTGGTGAAGCATCCCCTGACATTTTAAAAAATATCAACTAACACTGCGTTTATGGTGCGTGATTGGTTACGTTTCCATTAACACTGCACAGAATTTATAAACGTACTTTATCAACCGTCCATAGTATAACATGTGTTGCTCACCAACATGGCGTCCGAAAAAATCCGGTAAGTAAATCACTCACGTGGAACGTACCGCGGGTACGTTTCGTGATGGTTTGGGTGTTTTGGGAAGGATATCATCCATAATATATATGTTACAGTTACGTCATGCATGTGTCGGTTTTCTGATCATTACTGTTACCGTCCTAACCGATACGGGACTGACATCTCCTCGATGACCCGAATCCACCGCCATGTGTGGGGTATCGCCGTGCTGAGTTGTTTCTAAAAATAGACAACCAATCAAATGACCAGCTTTGGAATTCAAGAGGCTGCGAAGATTACAGTACATTATGTTCTGATTTCTTCCCTGGTGTCTTTTTCAAATAGATCATCCTGAATGCTTAACGTTGTTATTATTTCACTTTAATATTAAACTTAAACCACTCACTTCTGTGTTTGTGTTCTAAGTTTAGATGTCAGGGGAGGTAACACCATTCGCGCTTCTCATGTGGCATTGTGTACATTGTCCCTAACGTAAACATACTGATTATTTTTATGCTGACCCACGCTTGCGTGTGAACGCCCGCTATCAGCATGGTAAATATAATCTGCATTTAAAATTATCCTGGGTTAATGGGAAAAGAGATATATAACTCCATACAAACCTAGCTATGACGTCGCTGTCTCGATTCTGAAATTGAAATTACATTGCAAGCACGATTTAACTCCAGCATAAATTTCTTTTAATGCCTGTATCATTTTCCCTCGCATGCATTAACTTGGTAGATTCCACAATTCAATTTTGTCTACAGAATCAAAGGCGTTTTGAAATCTATAAATGCCATAAACAATTTCTTTCTCTTCTTACGTAAACATGTTTCAAAGTTTCAAGTTTCTACAACGTAGAAATGTGATCAGTAGTGAAGTATCCTTCCCAGAGCATGCTTGATTCGCTTCTTTTATTCTTTGATACTTAATAAGAAAATACAACTGTAATTACCTGGATCTACGCTACCCCTTGTATGTAGAGGAATAATAATTGACTTCTGGGGAGGTGCCACTATTGAAAAGATTGTCATATATTAATTATTAATAATCTGGGGAGGTGCCACTATTGAAAAGATTGTCATATATTAATTATTAAAACAAGAAGAATTGGCCTTACGAAATTCCCCAATTTGTTGTATCATTCATGCTAAGATATTGTCAACGGCATGTGATTTACTATTTTCATTCGTTTTATAGTATTTCGGATTTCGTCTTTCCTAAAAGGAGATTCTATAGTATTTGTTTATCCACATCGCTTTTTCATAGCATTTTTTATATCAATGTGTAACAATTCCGTTTCCTGTTCAGTGAAGTAAATGGTTATACCAGATGTTATCAACAATATCAGCTGAAGTTCTCTTGGGATTAGATGCTTCTCCACCTTTTCACAGAAATTTTGAATTATTTTCAGATTACTCCGATATGTGTTTAGCTTTAGAGAACGACAACTTCAAGTCCGATAACTCTAGCTGATTCATGTGTTCGCAAAGGTCTTTGGGGGGTTATTGCCGGACTCGGCAATATTTCGGCTATATGACGGCGGTCTGTGAATAAAACGAGTCTGGACCAGACAACCCAGTGATTGACATCATGACCATCAATCTACGCCGTTGGGATACGATGACATGTGACAACCAAATCAGCGAGCTTGACCACCCGATCCCGTTAGCCACCCATTACGAAAAGCGTGGGTTTCTGTTGAAGGCCAATTCAAGGGACGTCGGCGAAAGTAAAGGAGTTCTCACATAAAGATTCATTTTGGGTAGTTTCCGAAACTTCATTGATCAGTTGATGATATGTAGTTGATTACAGGCGGGCCAAGCTCCTTTTGTGATGTTTTACGAACGCTTTGTGTTGAGAAATCCGATGCTGGTCACAGCTGGTGTCAACAACGTTGGCCAAACAAGCTCATACTATTCACACGTTGACCACGCCTAAAAGCCTTAACGAATGTCCTATTAGAGAGGGTACTGTCGAGACAGGGATTTGGTGTCTGGTTCTGTAGAGGCATCATCTTTCGGACTTGTGAGTTGTCCATCCTTGAAATAGGCAGTCAGTCCTTTATCTCTGCGCTCATCTATTATTTCGCGTTGCTCTTTTGTGAGGTCATTAGAAAGCCAGTAGAAGATTGACGAAGTTATAATCTTAGTTTGAGAACACCTGTCATCAGATACAGCAAAATTAGCAATAAGAGGGGCGTGGTCACTGATTGTCATGGTTGGCTCCTACACTATTGACAGACAGAGAGATTTATTTCTGTAATTCTAGGACATAGGCCCATAACACAAAATACAGACACGTTGGTAACATCATATTGTACATTAGTACTGTGCATATAATGAATAAAACATTGTAATATCAGATTTGCTTCTTACTTTCTTCATATGACAGAGGAGGCGTCCAAGACAAATGAATGTGTTTATGTTGTACAAGAAATTAGCCTAATAAAGTTATCAAAACTGCGGTTAACAAGTGTACATGGAGGAATGCATTCTTGTCTAATAAAGACGTATATAATGTCCGAGTTCTGTGTCAGTTCATGTTTCTGTACAGGTCTGATATTATAAGTTGTTCACTGGTCACGAGGGGGCCATGGGTTGATGTACCCGGGCTCAGAGAACATAAACATAAACAAACATCGAGGGTACATCAACCCATGGGCCCCGAGGTACCAGTGAACAACATATTATCTTACCGAACACCTTAATGTTAATTTTGAATTGTTTGAAGCACGGGTACAATTTTTTTTGTAGCCATCGCTAGATTTTGCTGACAGGAAAAACAGATTTAGAGTTATTTCCCTTCCGTCAATTTGCATTCGCAAAACATCGGTAATTTCCGCACATCATGATCGTGATTTAATACCACAAAGTACCAAATGAGTTGCGGGGTACATTGAAATGTTACTCGCTTGTAAGCGGGGTACATTGAAAATAATAGAAGAGCGCTCAGACAATCAGAAAGCGACATTTATGTGTGAGGTAAGATAAGAGTCGATATAATATAGTATATCACGCTGATAGCTTCAAGTTTACTAGTATTTGGCTTGTCGTCTGCTGTTCAAGCTGATGTTCCGGTTTGTCGAATGTCGTGGATGATGCCTCAGTATCTGTGAAAAAGGCTCCTGCAACATTCACAGTTCTTTACATTGCACGTGCTACAATACTGGACACAAGTGTAGATACACTGATGGAATATGTCAACAAAAACACATCAGTGTACACATCCATATCAACTTTATATCGCCGCCATTACAGATTAAAACGGAGCACCTTTAGAATACAGCACCACAACTTATACGCACTCGCTGAGCCAGACAACCGTGTTGCCATGCAGGCGTCATAGGGAATTGTTTCGAGATCGTGCTTTCGAACAAAATCACATTACATTACGTAAAAGGGTATTATGACGTATTTTTAAAGTTTGTGGTGCTGTATTCTAAAGGTAGGCCCAAACACGTTTTGAAAATGTTACAACCTAAATTCCCAGTAAATCATAACCTTTCGGAACCAACTCATACATCGTCGATATCCCATTCCAGTCATCCGACATGTTGACAGTTCGCAGTTTGACATTCAAGTGACGCGCTGATTCTACCTCACACCGCACATGACGTAGACTGCACTATTACGTCACTGACATGGGAACTTTCCCGCGGAATATGCCCGTAAGGAGGATCCTTGCATGCTGCAAGCAGAGACCATATATTAGACTATTATATGGTCGCTGCTGCAAGTCAGTCACCCCAGTCAGAAACTCTCACTGGAAATCGAAAGTGAAGCAAACCACGTTGTAGCCTGAGGATATCCTCGTTTGTTGGTGTGGTAGCTCTAACTAAAACATCTTGAAAATCTTTTCCGGCTTCTAGATTTCCAGAGTTGCGCCCCTTTGTATGAGGCGTTGCTATTAATAGACATCGGGCTAATTCTGTTTCCGGCTTGTCATTCCAACCACATCGTTACAATACACTTATATTGTCAGCATACCTGTCCGAGGAATATGACACAAGCCAGGGTTCATCAAGGGGGACGACTTTAACCAACCAAAGTAATTTCGAAGTTTGTCAGTTGCACAACATCATATCAGAAACCATATAGACCGGTCTCTGATCAGTAAAGAGGTTGTAAACACGGAAGGAAAACAGAATATCCAGGTAGGCCTTGTGGTGAATCTGAGAATTGTTTATCTCTTAATGTTTATTAAGTAATAATTCACAGCGTATTGAGGCGATTTTAATATCATATTTATCACAGGGCAGAAATATGTATTCATGTAATATTTCCAAATTTACAATTGTATGAAGCACCCATACAATATTTTTACATTTATGAATCTGTCCCACAAGTGTCCAAATAAAGGACTGTTAATAAAAAAAAATCCTTAGAAGAGTATTCTTATTACAAAAAGTGGTTTCTCATGGTTTGGTGGAAACCAAGCCTATATGATTATATCTACAAATGTTAATGAAAACAATTCTTGAGTCAGGACTTTAATTATTATTGATAAGATTTGATAAAATAGATAATTGTCAGCTAGGAGGTAAAGGAAAATCACTCGAGTTACAAAACCTTGTGACATATTGAATAATTCCATTCATATAATCGTATTTTACAAATGTATTATAGATAAGCTTAAAGGAACTGCTTTAATCAGAAAGTGTGAAGAAGTTGGACTTCTAAGGTCTGATTTGAATTCATTAATTGTTTCACTAAAACTGTCAGCTTTTATGTGATATCACAGAATACTGGTAACAAAAGTACATCTAATTTTCCTTTGAGTGCAACATGCACTGTATAAACATTACAAGACTTAAATAATCTCTAATGGAACAATGTACAAAAATCTTGGATCACCTTTTATAGGACTAAGACAGACAAAATTCCACAACTCAGCTCACCAGATTTGGTAGATGGATAGCCTTCTGCAACCAAACCGAATTGATGAATGCATACACACGCACTCAACATTCATACACCGCATAATACAGCTAAACCCGGGCTTCTAATGCATGTAAAATTAACACTGAAAACTCTATATGATTTCTTACTTCAATTTGACCTGTTATTATACAGCCACAGACCCATGAAGGTCCAGGTTAGAATGTACCTTCAGTAACCCATGCTTGTCGTAAGAGGCTATAAACGGGATCGGGTGGTCAGGCTCACTGGCTTGGTTGACACATGTCATCGGTTCCCAATTGCGCAGATCGATGCTCATGCTGTTGATCACTGGATTGTCTGGTCCAGACTTAATGGCGCTACTTTATTATTTACAGACCGCCGTCATATAGCTGGAATATTGCTGAGTGCAGCGCAAAACTCACTCACACACTCACTATTTCAGCCACAACTGATATATCAGCTAAAATATTTTTCTACCACAACAAAAATGCAGCAATAAACATACTTGGTGTTGTGCAAAACTTTTGGGAAATGAGAATTGATGTTGTTATCCAGGAAGCAGACTGTAAATGCACAAATCTTTTCAGTGATCTGTCAGCATGATAAAAAAAATCAAGGAGATGATTTTTATGCCAGAATGCGATAAAAATGAGGTCGCGACACACAAGACAACATCCAGCACAATACAGGTCCATCCATTGACACTCACACCAACAAGACTTTGGAAACAGCTCAGAACTGTGTACAGAGTTGAAAAGTGGAAGCCCCTGTTTCCGTACCCTCCGATCAGGAAAGACTGTGTTCGGTTTGTTTGTATTGGTGACACTCACATGAGACATGAGGAGAGAAACACTGACCTGTCTTCCGTGATCCCGCCTGGCGATGTGTTGTTGCATGTTGGAGACTTCACCATGGATGGCAGCATGGGTGAAGTGTACTCGTTCAACCAACATTATGGTAAGTTTAGGGTGACTACTGATGGGGAATCAACTATTGCGATAGCGATAGTCTATTGCAACAAGCTATTGCGATAGCGATAGTATATTTCGACCAACTATTGCAATACTATTGCAATTGTTTTTTCTCCTTGAATTGTCTCATTTGAAGTCATTTCCCAAATGAACGTATAGTTTATATGAAATAAATACAAGATGAAGTAGTTTCAGTCTCTTAATAACCGACAAGAAACTTGAAAGCAAGATCAAGTAAAGTTAAAACATAAACATATTGTTATTCACAATTTCAAACTCCGTGTCGCATGCCGTGTTTGCCGTCATGTTTGTTTAAGAGGTAACATGGGCGGATAGCTCTAAATCAAAGTGAACAAATCTGGTACTTCTGTATTTTGCACTGCACGTTTATCAACGGAAGTCAATTACTATATTATCAACGGTCACACATATTATCAATGCATCGATAGTTTTTCATTTCTACCATTGATTAATTGCTATCGGAGACTCAACAATTGCAATCCATCAATAGTTTGATGCCTCTTAACAGCCCTCGTAAGTTGAAGCAAGTCTAGATTTTCCTCAGGTTCAGACACTTGACTTCCTCAACACTTGGGTTCCTTTTCAGTTACCTGTGAAGATCCGGGTTAGAATTGGTCTTCAGTAACCCATGCTTGTCGTAAGAGGTCACTAACAGTTAAACTGTATCGGGTGATCAGACTCGCTGACGTGGTTGACACATGTCATTGTATCCCAGTTGTGTAGATTGATGTTCATGCTGTTGATCACTGGATTGTCTGGTCCAGACTCGATTATTTACAGACCGTCACCATATAGTTGGAAAATTGATGTGTGTGGCGTTAAACACAAACACAAAGAAACCAACAAAGAATAAAGGAACACTTATACTTTTATGTGTTCCCTTATTTGTTTCCATGAGTATATTTTCAGACCCTGAGTGTTAGTCTTGCGCTCACTCTGCAAAGTGGTCTAAGATGGACAGTGTGTGTCAGCAGTGTATGAAATAAGGCCAGCCCGACCGCCCAAGACTGGTTAGATTTCAGACGGACGGTCTAGATTTACAGCTAGCCAGCCCGATGGTCTGGTAAAAAATTAGATGTTATATACATCTGAGTCATATATTGGTATCTGGTCTGGTTAAATCCATTTTGGACTGGTAACATTTTGAAGTTACCAGCCCTGATGTCTGGCTGGGGTTTTGGCTTATGTCATACACTGGTGTCAGTGTTAAACGTATCTGAGATATATCACCTTAGCACTTAATAAAAAGAAAACTTTCAGCTAATAGGATGACACGGATTGGTCAAGGTAACATGTTTTCAGCCAGGGACACCTTCGAAATGGAATTGATTTGAGAGGAAGAACAGTGGTACACAAATGTTAACACGTTGAGTTACTGTAATTATATTGTGGTACATCATAGATGTGAGGAGATTTACTGTTATCAGGCTGCGTTATTCTCAGGTTTTGTACACCAAAGTCTTGCAGAACAGTTTGCTGGAGAAATGGAAAACTGTGTACAGGAACATCATTTCCAAACATTAATGGGCAACTGAGTGGTTATTGTGACAATATATATATGTTAAAAATACGGAATGTAAAGTAATATTTGAACTGCAGCAGATATTTTTAGCATACTTTGTATATTACCTTCGAAGATCCAGGTTAGAATTGATCTTCAGCAACCAAGCTTGTTAGGACTATCAGAATCAGATTTGCTGACTTGATTGACACCTTGTCATATCCCAGTTGCATCGATAGATGCTTATGGTAGAACATTATGAGTTATGTCAGTGACTGTCTTGTTTGTTTCGTGGCGGTGGGCTAGCCTAGTGATTAAGGCGTTTGCTCGTCACGCTGAAGACCCGAGTTCTATGCCCTACATGGGCACAATATGTGTGAAGCTGCTAACAGCGGCGTAGAACTAAACTCACTCACTCACACTTGTTTGTTTCAGGATCTCTTCCCCACAAGGTGAAGCTTCTGATTGCTGGTAACCATGACAGCTGTCTGGACGCAATGTGGAAGCACACATCTTTTGGGGGGGGAATCAGTCATGAATTCCCAGGAAACCCTCCAGAAGAGTCGTGACCTGCTGAGCAACTTCACCTACCTCCAGGATGCCATGGTGGAAGTGTATGGAATCAAGATATATGGTGCACCATGGTGAGATACCGCCAGAATACTTGCCACTGTTTGCTGTAATCTGTATGGGGGTGGTCGGGTAGCCTTATGGTTAAAGCATCCGTTCATCACGCTGAAGTTAGTGAGTGAGTATGGTTTTTAGCAATATTCCAGCAATATCATGGCGGGGACACCAGAAATGGGCTTCACACTTTGTACCCATGTGGGAATTGAACCCAGGCCTTCAGCTCTGCTCTGTCTCTGCAGATGTGGAAAGGATTTGATCTTTTTAAGAATATTATTCTGCTGGTTCATGTCTGTGCCTGTAAATGGCTGTATTGGTTAGCTTGTCTCTTCCAGCTTCTAGTATTACATTACCTCCCCTTTGCAGATAATAGACATGATAAAGATGACTGAAATGAATGTTGTTTGTTTGATCCCAGGGTTCCTGTGTGTCATAGCGATGCCTTCACTCTGCAACGTGGCATGCCTCTACTACGGCGCTGGAACCTCATTCCTGAGGATACCGACATTCTAATGACACATGGACCACCTGTAGGTGAGTAGAGTGAGTGAGTGAGTGAGTCTAGTTTTACGCCGCTTTTAGAAATATTCCAGCAATATCACGACGGGAGACACCAGAAATCAGCTTCACATATTGTACCCACGTGGGGAATCGAACCCGGTCTTTGGCGTGATGAGCGAACGCTTTAACCACTAGGCTACCCCACCATCCAGATGAGTGGAGAAATGTATAGCATGTATGCATATCATTAGAGCAGTTTGTTTTATCCTTGCTTGTAAATAAAGCAGAATGGATTGGTTTGTAGAATGTGCATTTGTTAAAGCTGCCAGTGGAAAAGATCTAAACTCTTCATACAGAGCAGTGCTCTATTTAAGCGTTTTGAACTTGCACTGGTGCAACCTAATACTGCAAAATGCACTTTCATATTTTTATCAGCTTGCACCCTGTGCATGTGTGTTTTTTTCGCTGTTCAAAGAACACACACTTCAGCTGGAAAGCAATGCTTAGGAACTGAATTGGACGTATTTTTCCAAGAATAAGAAATAATAAAAATTAATTTTCCCCGTTCAAAAAGTAACATTTTAATATTTTTATTGGCCAAAAATGTAAATGTGCGAGAAAATGTTTTTAGATGTTTTTTTGCTCCTCATACACTTCATAAATTGCCAAAAATATAATACATTTAGTATTTAAAAGGAATATTACTTTGACTGGTGATTTTTATTTTTATTATTATTTTTTTCCCTCCTGCCTTAAGGTTTTCTGAGGACAGAAATCCATAAAACAAGAAATAAAATTGGTCTGGCCTAATATATAATGATACTATCAGATCCAGAATAATTTTGTTATAATGATGTTTAAAATCATCAATATTGTATTTTATATTGAGCAGCAGGTGTTACCTGTTTTTGTCTGGTGCAACAAGGTTAATACCTAATATTGCACCTGGTGCATGCAGGTCTCTTTTCCTTACATTGAGCCCTGAGTGGTGAATGGGTTCATTCATCAACGAAGGACTTCTGTAAAAGTAAACATTCCCAGATGTTTGTGTACTCAAGTGCATTGGCACAGGTGGGCAAAGTGCTGCAATTTGCTGCACAGAGTTAAGCCCCTTTGTCATGCCAGAATCTGCAGATCATGGGTTTGAATTAACCAAAATCATGATCCAAGGTCCAAGTGTTTATGCTCATGCTTTAAACCAAAAAGGAAAGTTACAAGTTTACTTTCTTGAAGCTGCAACCAATTAAGCTCATATGCCAAGATGTAGCTGACATACTGACTAAAACTGTAAATATCCAACTCATTGTGCTATTTTTTCCCATCACTGAAGAAACTTTGGCAGTGTATATTTAGTTTACTTGCAGTAGTACGCTCTCTATCTGCAGGGTATGGAGATACACTTGACAATGGACGCAACGTTGGCTGTGTTGAACTGCTCAATACTGTGCGGAACCGAGTGCGGCCAAAGTACCACGTATATGGGCATATACATGAAGGTATGACTGGGCATATACATAAAGGTATGACTGGCATATACATGAAGGTATGACTGGACATATACATGAAGGTATGACTGGGCATATACATGAAGGTATGACTGGGCATATACATGAAGGTATGACTGGGCATATACATGAAGGTATTACTGGGCATATACATGAAGGTATGACTGGACATATACATGAAGGTATGACTGGGCATATACATGAAGGTATGACTGGGCATATACATGAAGGTATGACTGGGCATATACATGAAGGTATTACTGGGCATATACATGAAGGTATGACTGGGCATATACATGAAGGTATTACTGGGCATATACATGAAGGTATGACTGGGCATATACATGAAGGTATGACTGGGCATAAACTTGAAAGTACGGCTGGACATGAATGTAGTGGTGGAGTTCAAATACGGAAACCGTGTTACGATTCTTCACGAGTTGTAGCCCTTGTCATGCTTTTTCTTGACTGAGTGCATGTTATCCCCAATGGGAACAGAATTCAACACTAACCTTTATAGATAGGGCAACCAAGTGTGGTATGTGTTTTCAGGACATGAATGTAGTGATGGAGTTAAAAATAGGAACCAAATAGGAACAGAACACAGTGGTGGGGGATATTGATCACCATATCTTCTTGTTTGTCGGGGATCTTGGGTATAAAGACTTGCCCCAAAATAGTTACAGCATGATCCCAATTTCATGTCAGTCTTTCTGTTAGTTCCGAGGCAAAATGTTAAAACTGTATTGTACACAAACAAAAGACATGTGATTCCTCAAGTCAGGCTGAAAAATGTTGTGTACTATTCTCCTTTGTAGGGTATGGAATGTACACAGACGGACAAACAGTGTTCATCAATGCAGCAATGTGTACCAAGGGGTATCGTCCAGTCCAGGCCCCGATTATATTTGACTTCCCGTTACCTAAAGGGCATTCCAAAAATGAACTTGTTGATCTGTCAGTTAATGAGTCAGTGCTGCAGTTAACACCTGATGAGCCTGAAGAAAGAAATGAAGTGACAGAAGGAAAGACAGCAGAAGTGAGACTGGATACCACCGCAGAAGAAGTGAGACTTGATACCATGGCAACAGAAATCAGAAAGGATACCTATAACCACAGAAGAAGTAAGACTGGATACCATGGCAACAGAAGTGAGACTGGATACCAAGGCAGCAGAAGTGAGACTGGATACCAAGGCAACAGAAGTGAGACTGGATACCACGGCAACAGAAGTGAGACTGGATACCATGGCAACAGAAGTGAGACTGGATACCAAGGCAGCAGAAGTGAGACTGGATACCACGGTAGCAGAAGTGAGACTGGATACCACGGCAACAGAAGTGAGACTGGATACCACGGCAACAGAAATCAGAAAGGATACCTATAACCACAGAAGAAGTAAGACTGGATACCATGGCAACAGAAGTGAGACTGGATACCAAGGCAGCAGAAGTGAGACTGGATACCAAGGCAACAGAAGTGAGACTGGATACCACGGCAACAGAAGTGAGACTGGATACCATGGCAACAGAAGTGAGACTGGATACCAAGGCAGCAGAAGTGAGACTGGATACCACGGTAGCAGAAGTGAGACTGGATACCACGGCAACAGAAGTGAGACTGGATACCACGGCAACAGAAGTGAGACTGGATACCACGGCAACAGAAGTGAGACTGGATACCACGGCAACAGAAGTGAGACTGGATACCATGGCAACAGAAGCAAGATTGATGCCTTGTGATAATATTTATAGATTGTTGTGATGTGCGCACATGCAACAACATCAAAAGAAAACTGAAGTCTTTGGGTAGCCTAGTGGTTACAGTGTGGGCTCGTCACACCAAAGACCTGGGTTCGATTCCCCACATGGGTACAATGTGTGAAGCCCACTTCTGGTGTCCCCCGCCGTGATATTGCGGAAGATTGCTATAATGGGGATAAAATCATACGCACTCACTCAAACGAGAACCAGTTGTGGTCTACATTTACATGACATTTGCTTGACATGGGCCATCAGTGTGAGAATGTCAGCACGTTTTGTTCCATTTTGGGGGAATTTCCTTTTGTTGAGGATTTGAAATAATGCATCTTGCCTTGACTAATTTCTTATTTTAATGAAAGCTTTACTTACGAAGACAATTGTTTTGATACCATCAATAGTTTTTATATTTGTTAACTATTATTTTTATATACTTTTTAATATTATTTTTAATATATACATTGACTGTGATATTGAGAGATTTTTGAATTGATGAATTGATTTTTTGGTGAATCATATGTAATTATTATCCATGCAAAATACAAGAACCTGTGTGAGTTTGTGCCAAATTGTTTTTTGGTCAAGCCAAAGTTAACATAAAACTAATTTTGTGTGTCTCATTATTGTTTTGGTTGTTGTGAAAAATGAATGCTAATTTTGTTTGAAGTACAAGATACTTACATTCCAATATGAACTCCATTGCAGGTTCCATTCAGTATAGGCCATGCCAGTATTTGAGGTATGAAGCATGTGATGTTTTTACTGTGCTACACAGGAATACATAGAGAATCTCACCCGAGTGTCTTTTGATATCAAATATATCACCACGAGTTGATAAAGTAACAAATATCCGAAGCTTGCCGAGGATATTTTACTTTTATCAACGCCTAATGAAAATGTACATCTCTGAACACAGTCTGCCATTAGATTTGCAGTGCATCTGTCATACTGTGGAACACAGTTTTGCATGATAAATACTGATGTCAAAACGATTCTCCTAGGAGAATTATACATTTTATATCTACTGTGGAACACGTTTTGGATGATAAATACTGATTGAATGATATTTTGCTACTCATGTTACCTTATTTACCATATTACACAACCCGTCCAACATCCCGATCAAAGTGAACTCATGCACAGAAACCACCCTGAACATAGATCGAAACTTATATTGCAGCCTTTATTTTCTAGTGTTTAATATTCATATTTTACAGGGGACTGCTGTTTAAGGATATTGTATACAAGTGACGGATTATGGGCATAATAAACCGTCCTTTTTAATTGTTGTTTGTGATTTATTGCATCACTATCTTACACATGAAAGTCATTTTCAGTAGTAGTAACATTATTACGTACATGCCTACCAGAACTGGAGATGTCAACTAGAGTGAGTGAGGTTTTACGCCGCTTTAGCAATATTCCAGCAACATCACGGCTGGGGACACCAGAAATAGGCTTCACACCAAGTGGGGAATTGAGTCTCGGCCTCCTGGCATGATGAGCAAACGTTCTAACCACTAAGCTACCATCTGCCTCATATGTCAACTGTAAACAATACTCTTGTAATTTATGTCCCACAAAATTCTTTAGGACAGACATTTTGTCCAACTTGTGAAGATCTGGGTTAGAATTGGTCTTCAGCAACCCATACTTGTAGGTGGTGACCAACGGTATTAGGGTCAGACTCGCTGACCTGGTTGATGTTCATGGTATCCCAGTTGCATAGATCAATGCTCGTGACGTCAATCATTGGATTGTCTGTAGCAGGCTTGATTATTTAACCAACTTCTTAAACTATTCCAGCCAGCCAATCAAAGATGACTGAACATGTGTGTGTAATAGATAATGTGTGTCAATTCTTTGGTCTTGAAGGAGACGGGAAATCAAACCGAGTCAGAAATGACTTCAGACATTGCAGTAAATTGCAATGTGGAGAATTAAACTTTGTGATCATAAACAAACATTCTGAATGTGTGCGTTTGTTTCAACGTCACTTTGGAAACTGGTGGGATAGCCTAGTGGCAGAAGACCTTTGATTCTCCACACTGTGTGAGGCCAATTTCTTTTGTCCTTTGCCATGAAATTCCTGGACTACTGCTAAAAGCAGAATAAAACAACTCCCCACTCACTAATGTCACATGTGAGCTTGATTTTGGAGGAAAGCCCATCTACAAACGAGGTGAATTGGAAGTTAACATCCCATTCATTTATTGCACTTAGGGGCCATTCATAATTTATGGCTGAGGTGTGTGTGTGTGTGTGCGTGTGTGTGTGTGAGAGATATAATTAATTATTTTTATGTAGTAGCATGTACTATTTCCATGAAAAAAAATAAAAATATTTGTCCTAAGTAAGTGATCCCGCATGTCCTGTTCAAAATCAACTCTCCCCCCCCCCAATAATTTTTTAGCAGACTTTTAATTTTAATCCTCAAATGTACAAAATTGCTCCCATCCCACCCTCCAGTTCAAAATTGCTAACATTGAACGGTTTTAGAGTTCTGCTCCGGAAAAGAGCACTACCACCAATTTCAATCTAAGTCAAACTTGTTCCCATGGAAAAGCCAAAAATATTTTATTCAGAATTCCAAAACTACCAAAAAGGCACAAGTTCACCACCAGATCTATCTATGTGCCAAGTTTGGTGAAGAAATATCGAACGGTTTTAAAGTTCTGCTCCAGAAAAGACAAATGTGCACGGACGCACAGACGGATGGAGTCCATTTTAATCCCCCCTGCAAAACGCGTGCCGGGGGATAATAACAGTGTGAACTGGGTTTCGACCCACAATCATAACTTTCTGGAGTACCCAGGGGAAGCAACTCTTCACAGCTGCACTTCAGGTGACTGCAGCCACTACAAATGAGAGACAGATGACAGAACCTCTGAGTGTGAACAATAAACTGAAGTTTAATACAGAACATTGGGAGTATGATAAACATGGGAATACATCTGTCCATCATTGCTTGTGTCAGCCTGGGAAGGACAGGCAATAGCTTCAGTAGATTCACAGTTCTTCCGTGGCATACTGTCTCAATGGTTATTGATAAACAAGTCACAGAAATATATGCATGACGATGATTCCCTCGGTATCTGATCCTGTCACATGACCCTGGTCACATGACTCTCACTAAGCTGTGATTAAGACTGTAAATAAACACTGAATAACATGATATCACATTATACAAATTTTCTGTACACGACATCGGTTGTGTGCTTTGAGCACATGAGGACTTTTAACATTAAGATAAGTATACTTCTGTATCCATACATGGCACAAAATGGTTGACTATGTACAAAACATCATATTAATTATCAATATATACAAACGAAATCAACTTTTATCAGTATTAAAACTGGGTCAGTTGTAACTACTGGTGTAGCATTAGAGATAAAAGGTTATGTACAATTAAAAAAAAAGATTGTCTAACAAAACAACAAATAAAATATGTGTATATCTCTATGCTCAAACACAAACTCATCGGAATCTGACCACAGACACAATAAACACAATCTTGACATTCGCAAGCATTGTGAGAGATGGGTCAGTAAAAACGGGCAGTTGTCTCCCTTTGAAGCACTTTTCACACAACATTGAACACCATAGAATATTCTGAGATTCTAAACAAACAAGCTTAAATTAAATCTGCACAACACACAGTAACAACTATAGCACTGACAGTAAAGACAATAGCACAAGCAGCTGGAAGCAGTATCTTGAGGTCAAACGCGAACATCACATCTAACCTCTGAATATTTCCTATGTCAATTTGAACATAATAAATGTATTACGACAAAGTAAATTCTCAGTAATCTTGAACACATCAACAAATACTTAATAGAGAAAATACCACAAAGTGAATACCTTCAAAAATGCCACACACTTTTAGTGAGTTAATTCAAAATGAAAAAATTAATGCCATCAACATTGCCAACAAATAAAATATTTAATGAATAAAATTGAAATTTCAACAAAACACTTCCAATGTTTTTCTTCACACAAGCAACAATACAATTTGTTCATTTATAAGTTAATAATGATATCTCATAGCATATCTATTAAAATCGTATTATCATCTACTCAGTTCAGTTCACATGTTTAAATATTATGCTAAATTCTGCAATTTTGAATCTCTATTTCAAGCTAAATCTGAAAAACCCAAACAATTCAGATCCTAATAGCAACCATGAAACCTGAATAAACGGCAGAACAGTATGTATTGAGTTTGAAAAAATCAGAGCCAGTTAGTTAAGTTAATGCCATTTCCAAAACTATTTCAGTCATACCAAGGTATACAAGACAAGTTTGGCATGAAAGACCAATTAAACCATGGTTTTTACGGTTACAACTTTGGTGAAACCAACGAGTATGGGTATGGTGCTGACAAACCCACCATCATGACACTGCTAATCTGGGATTCAAACCCATGATAACAGGATGCTGGCTATAAGGGGGACAACTCTTGTCAGCAACATGTGGAAGGTAATACAGCTGGCTCCCCTGCACCCTTAACATAACCAACAAATGCTAAACCGCAAATGAGGCAAAATCAGAGGATCCTATCAGTCAAAGATTTCATGTCAAAGAAGAGTTTGAATTTTTGTAGTTCAACTTGATCATGAACAAAATGTTATTCTTTCAGAATCTCTACTTCAAATTAGAAACCTGAAATATCTCTACATGTACTCTGACATAACTTTGTGATGATGGGTTACGTTCTTAAGGAGTTCCCTCCATTGTTTCATTTCTGCCAATTCCTTTGATACTCCTTCCTGGAATCAAGATAAGGGATCAAGTTCGAACCACAACAAAATTTTCAAATACATGTATATCCTTAATACAGAGCAATATTGTATATTTAAGTTCATAAAACAAATTCAATATTCACAGAGACGTATTCAACACCATCAGTTCCTATACCTTTCAGAAGTAGAAATATCTCTTTAACTCAAACCCTCCCCTCTTCCTAAGTAGGTGTTCATATGTGTGTTGAAATCAGCTAAAACCAGTGAGGATGAGGGATCACGGAACTCCCCGTGTGTCTGAACATGTGCGCAATGTTTAGAGTTGCCCAGCCCTGTGCAGCTACTTCTGATATAACATATTACAATTAACAGCTAAAGATATGATATATAAACATGCCCTATGCTTAGCAATGGAAGAGACAAAAGATGTCCTTTTGCAAAAATTTCTTGAGTGATAATATATTTCACGTAATATGTTTGTGACGGAGTTTCTGATTCTGTAAATTCACAGTCAAACCTTCAATTAAGCGTATAGAGAATTATCAAAAATTTATAAGCCATCGGACTGACGTAAATCTGGTATTATGCAAAAAGAAGTATCACAAATAAATAACACTTGTGCACATTTGGACACATCACAAAGCCATACAATAACCTTGAAGCAAGAACTGAAAACGTACATCAGGCTGAACAACACGCAGAGGGTCTGGTTGGAAAATATTGGAACATAAGTAAATGTTTCCACATGAACACGTTAAGGATGTGGTTTGCTGCATCCATTAGTTTCCTGTTTGTAATGAAGACAATATCAGTCACAAATTCAGTAACAATAAATTAAGCATGAAAGTGTTAAAATAAATCATCTCTCTTGCACGGAGTAAGTCTTAGAAATGCATCAAACGAGTCTGATTATATAGCCAGACACCGATTCTGGCAGTACCGACAAATGAAGAAGGTACGTCTATTGCTCAAGAAATAATCATCATAATACATGTAGACACCTCTGAGGTTGAGGGCGGAGGACAGGTGTGTCCGCAAATATACTGCCCACTCTCCCTCCCAAAACATAACAATAACAAACAAGATGGCAATGATCCTGGCCTCATACAAAGCATTGATCATTTCTAAACATACACTACCTCACATGTAAATGCCAACAACAGTTATATCTTTGACTACTTCATAAAATAGAGTCCCTTCACTCGCATTGGCTACAGAACTGAACATTATACAACTGAGTTTTTCTTGATCAAAATTGGTTTGTATATTGTCATTAGACCATTCATTCATGTGGGAATATATCTATTGTCTTTGAAAACCCTGATCACTTGGCAGTCAAATATCATTAACGCAAAAAGGATATTTCGAAATTTGGTTTGTACTTAAACCTCATCTGTCATGTAGCAGAACATTTTTTAATGCATTTTTCTTGGTCAATATATATAGTTATGTTCAGAAACATAATATGGTAAACTAGCAGCTCTGGGCCAGTTTAAGGAAACGATCTCAGTGCTACAATTGTCATTACCAGTAGTCTATGCTGAAATATGGCAGTAACAATCATCTTTGAGTTAAAGTGGCTTCTGGAATGGAGCCCTGTTCAAATTAGTATATACCCGAGGATCCAATTACTGTTAATAAAATATGCATCGCCATTATTTTACTTCGACCTGTTTATCTATGTGAGTCAGCTTGTGAGAGCAAACATTGTGCCTCCGATTAAGGTTCCATCTGTATTTCCCCTCTGACACACTGACACAGGAAACACTACCTGATCCACAGCAGCTGTGCTTGACAAATGAACACAAGACCAATCGAACATTACTAAACATCAAAATACTAACATTAAACTGTCCATCAATTCAGAAAACAAATGTCAATATTGCCTGTGTTTACATTATGCAGTTTTGCACCCAATGACACTGACAAAACATACACAGAATTTGCATGTTATGTGCATTTCAAATTTTTCAGATCATGTATCGCTGATACAGCACTATACAGAGAGGGTAACAACTCAGTTTCGTCTTAGAAAAATAAATTTTCCTCGGAAACTAAAATTTACACCATCCAATAAATGACCTTCATGTGAAGTGAAACATTCATCAACTGTCCTAGGATTTAGACACCTTCTGCTTCTCCACAGTTTGTTTTAGGGCATAAAACCAATTCTGGCCTGAACACCAATGAAATTTATCATTGACCTCATCAAGAAATCCCAGTGACAGAGATCATAACTTTAACACAGACCTAACAACTATCACAACTTTCAGACTGAATGAACAATTTCTCAGATTAACACGACCCTGCTCCAAGAACACACCAAATCTTTGTAGACACTGACAGAACAGAAAACCAATCCTTGTATGACTTACATTTGAATAAATTCGTAAAATATTTATGCAAAGAGCAGCATGAGACTGTCTTGACTGATCCCGACACCAACACTGACATAAGTATTGCAAACCTGCACGCATGAAAGTAGTCTTGTTTTGAAGTCATTCAACTGCCTCACTTCACAATCCTTGCAACAAAGAAATCGCCACCAATCAGAACTGATGATTTCATGGCTGCTGTGGAAGCCACACAGGGTTACACAATAGATCACACAATAGATCACACCAAACCGCTATCCATGCCACCACTCTACCATACCAACCTATTCCTGTACATTGAAACCTTTGTTACTTGAAGTCCTTTCATCAAAATATTGACAAAGACATCATTGTCTTAGGGTCCAATCATCGATAATATTGCCTTACCATGACACTCTGAGAAACTCATCTTCATATCTGATCAGTCAAACCATCTTTACAAGGAACTCCAAATATAGATGGAATTCAATTTTGTAAGGTCTGTTTATTGATAACACGACCTCAGTGTGAAACTCAATATGACCCCAGTTTGACTCTATCCTTGACTTAACTTGATGGACCCAAGATATGTGATTCTGTGAACTATGTTTTAGCTGGTTGACAGAATTTGTTTATTTCAACTTTAGGGTTAAAATAAATATAATTGCCATCAAATTGACAAAAATGTCTCAACTCACTCTCTGAATTTAGTGAATTTATGCTCCAAGACTTAACAGATATTTATCAGGTGTTGCCATGTTACAACTTAAAATGACTGGGCAACCAGGAATGACATACCAAAGGGCCGTAACTCTCATTACTGCAACACATGGTGTAGGTGGCAGGACATGGAGGTGCAACAGTCAGTAAGTTTATGAATTTTCTCTTGCCTGGTACATGCCAGGTACCTCTCAAATAGGCACATCCCCTTCATAGTGGAATCACCATTAACAAATGAATGCACCTTTCTGATTTTTCCTCCAGAATAAATCTCATAGTCTTGCCACCAGTTGTGGATGACCACCGTTATTGCTTATTATATGACGGGTAGATTTCCGTCCTGCTGATTGGCCCACTTGGTCACATGACAGCTTTGACGCTAAGCGATGTCAACCTCGCCACATCGCGAGAAGTTGATATAACAATCCAAGAACCTCCCGTGGTTAAAAATAGATTTGGGATATTCCAGCTGTTCCAGATAAGGAAGCAATAGGCATCGCTTCGTCCGTGTGACTGTGTTGGTTTAGAGTTACGTCCCATCTGTATCAAAATGGATGCACCTCTGGGTCATGTGCAACGCCATCAGTGGTATGCTATGTGACACAAGAACAGGTATTCAGTACTTTTGTCATATAATAAAACAATTATTGACTTCAGTTCGGTTGATCCAATGATGTATCGACCTTGGTCATGTGATATTCACCTCAGCTTTGGTTTCGCCTCGGTGAATATCACATGTCCAAGGTCGATAAATGATTGGATCAACCTCACTAGAAGTCAATAATTGTATAATGCTTGCCCTGTGCAGTCTTGCCACCAGTTGTGGATGGCCACCATTATTGTATGCTCGCCCTTTGCCGTATCACATGTCTAGAGTGAAATACAGCTCAGAAGTGAACCTCAATCAATTGATCAATTGGCAGTCATCCAAACCCTTGATGTCAAGAAAAGAAATTGTGGGAAAGACGAACAAGATCAGTAACTTGTGCAAGATATCATTACACTCTATGAATAAAATGACAAGCAGTATTTTCAAAATTGATGCAATTTACACTCTCAATTTTCTATTACTTATAACCTGATATATAACGTAGTTCTTATAAACTGTTATGATTAGAATCTTATTTGTGTTGATGCCATAATGAACTTAGATATAATTTTTCAAACCAGCATAATACAGTGTTCTCAAGAGTTCAAAATGTTTCAAACATGGTTTCTCACTGATGAACAGACATCACATCAATCAGGAAAGTAAATTCCCGTACTGCCTGGACATAAATAATCCCTGTCCATAGAATGTCATGATGATATTTATTATACATCGCTCTTGTACTTTCTCCCTGGACTGAATGTGCACTATCCAACCACAAAAACATTCAGTGAATGCAGGCTCTCTTCAAGGTTTGACTGTGTACTGGAGTAATCATTGAGGCGTCAAGCCTTCCTCTTCTTTGTCGCACGCCCCTTGACCGACGGTTTCAATGTGGCTGTGTCCGAGTTCACTACAGGCATGTCCTTGATGTCCTTGACAGCCTCCTGGATAGCCGCCTCGAGATGGGAGTTCATCTTCCTACCTCTGGAAAACATCAGAATAAAAATAGTACTTCATAAACTAATTTGTTTACAATGGACAGTTGTTAAGGTTTGTTTGTGTGTTTATTTGTGAAAGATCAGCTGCATCATAAGGTAAGCCCAGAGTGAAGCGGGCATCACATATTAGCCCACAAGAACAAATAGTCCAATCAAGAGTCATAAGCAGGTCATATCTGTGAAGATCCGGGTTAAAATGAATTTTAAGCAACCCATGTTTGTCATAAATCAAAAGGTATGGAGATCAATGTCATTAGCATATATCAGCCGGAATACCATGATATCGTCAACCAAAGTAGAACCTGATCATCATGGCTTGCTGAGGACCAGGTCTACTCTGGATCTTCATGGAGTCTGGGACCTAACTACAGTGACAGAGGCTAATGGTGTCATCATCTTGGTAGGACAAGGCGGGAAAAAAAACAGGCCACAGAATACAGAATAATTAGATGATATCCCACAGCTCCATAACAAATACTGGAGAAAACAAGGGAGATAACTCTCAGTCAGAAATCAACGGTACTAATAGGGTATGATAAATATGATGAGATGGGATCAGTGTTTGCCCTAGGCATGAAAATTTAGGAGTCATCATGACTCCTTAGTGTCATGAGAGGGAATCATGGACATGTTTTGGAAGTCAACTTCAGTTTGGAACTTTCATCAAGACATCAACTGTGATTGTTTAATAACAACAAAAAACATCCAAAGGCAGGTCAGGTATTTAATCAGCACTGAGCAGTTAACTGGCAAACATTTAGTTTTAGAAGTTTAGAGTATCTGAACTAAGGGCCCAGTAGCATTGCGTCAACAATGACGCAAGCTTCAACATTTACTACGTATTTGAGATAATTTGGACGTCAAATACGCAGGTTTTTCTCGTCATGGCAAACACTGTTGGATACAGCCAAGGATGGGTGAGATAGCTGAGGGGCATGAAAGAGCTGCAGTAATCATCCCCTGTGATTTGGGAATAAACACTGTCCTCTTTTGCCTCTATATGATAACACAGTTCCAAAGCATATACACAGTACCTGCGGTATTTCCTCCTCGTTTTGTGATGAGCAACCATTCCTTCACGCCACGTCTTGAGTCTCTGCGGCTCAACTCGAGTAAATGTATGATCCCCATACCACATGACCAGTACCTGGACGACACAAACAACACTTAGGTGACTGACTGACTGACTGAGTTTGGTTTTACGCCGCTTTTAGCAATATTCCAGCAACATCACGGCAGGGGACACCAGAAATGGGCTTCACACATTGTACCCACGTGGGGAATCGAACCCGGGTCTTCGGCGTGACGAGCCAACGCTTTAACCATTAGGCTACCCCACCGCCCCCTTAGGTGACTGAGTGAGCCACATCAAATCAAGTAACAACATCGCACACTTTGTCCTTCCCTGACTTATGGGAGCCATTTTCTAAATAACTTTCATCTTCACAGTGGACCATGATGGACCTTCACTATTGGATCATTACTACTGGATCACAGATAATGTGCCACAGCATCTCATGACAGCCACATGTGAGACTTTATGAGACACTATTTTAGTTCATGCTTGTTTGAGGTTTACAAATGTCCAATCTGGCAATAAATTTCAATGAGTGAGTGAAGTTTTACTCTCTTTTTAGCAATATTTCAGTAATATCACGGCGGTGGACACCAGAAATGGGCTTCACAAAGTATACCCATGTGGGGAATCGAACCAGGGTCTTTGGCGTGACGAGTGAATGCTTTTAACCACTAGGCTACCCCACCATCCAAGAAAACATTATATTGCGTATAATGTCAGATGTCTTCCCAAAAACACTCTGTGTAAAATGGGAGTTACTTTTCTCATTTAGACATTATCACCAGTATCCAACACTGGAAACAGCATGTCAAATGCATACAGAAGTATCAAAGTCAGTCTCGATATTACACTCGCTGCAAAATAACAGTGCTACGTATACATTAGGACTAAATGTTTGTAATATATATTTTTAATCACATTCAAAATTTCATTCAAAACCTAAACTGATTAGTAGGTAACACCAACGCAAGGTTATTCGCAGCAACCAATGTCAGAACATATTATTCCTGGTAAAACTTTCATTTAAGATACAATCATTAGAAGTTATATGGTCCATCAGTTTTCAAAGTACGTACACATCATCAATTTTGGAATCTTGTTCAATTATGGAATGGCCTAACTATCAACTGTTGGATAACTCACGGTGTCTGCTTGGTCCTTTGAAGACGGTTTCAGATCAATGCCTAGTTAATATTATGTAATGGCCTAACTATCAACTGTTGGATCACTCACAGCATCTGCCCGGTCCTCTAAGGAAGGGTTCAGTTCAATTCCCTCAGCAGCACTTTCTGGAACCAGCTTGCCAGGCCATAGTGGGAAACCTCGGATCTGACCCCATACAACATCTCCTGTGGAGAAGTTCTGAAGGTAGCCTTCAGACACCATGCCGTCAATAGACTCTTCATCAAAGTCTGCAGAAAGAGTCACATGACAATGGCAATGAAGGGTTTCATTTCATATTTTAAGCCTGTGCTAGTTAACATTTTCATTCTATATCATTCTATACACTCACCCATTCATTGGTAATAATAGAATAGAATTTATAAAATGTTATCCTAAGAAAGTACTGACTGAAAGAGACACTTTTCCTTCAAATATGAGATCACATGTTCAGGATGTTTCAAGCCTTTAAGTGAGCGAGTTAACTTTTATGTCACACTCAGCAATATTCCAGCTATATGGCAATTCAAGCCTTTAAGACAATGTCTAAGTCTTTGGCAATACAAAACTGCAGGCAGACTTGCTGCAAATGAAGTATAGCAAAATGCATGGTATGGTAAACAATGAATGGAAACATATCAGGAGTAATAGTATCATGACACCTCTATTTATAATATTCCTTTGAAACAATGTAACATTTTCCCCCAAAGTACATCTCAAAATATTATTATTATTTTTTCTACAATTTCTTTATTTTTCTTGCATTTGTACATAGTTGCACATGTATATAAATTATCTATATAAAAAATAGGTGACAAGATGACCAGAATTTAGTAACTTGGTTTTCGATTTTGTGAAGTAATAAAAGCATGTGAGCTCTTCCTGAATCATTTTAAAATTTATTAGTTTTTTTTGTATGTTCTTTTTAGAAAATAAATTGTTTGCATACAATTATTAAAAGATTTATTGGTTCAAAATTTGGTAGCAGAGAGCCAAGAAGCATATCTTTCTTGTTAAGTTGAATGGATAAATCGGCTTTCTAGTTGACCCATTTTTCAAATTGTGTCCAGGGGAACTCACATGGTTGCAATACCAAAACAGTTGATCAACTGTTTCACGTTGATTATTACAATAACCACATAAATTGCTGTCTGCGTATACCATTTTAAAAAGTACAGAATTTGTTGGTAAGATATGGTGAAGAATTTGATATTGAAACCATTACTGATAAGAACAAAGAGAGTACTTGTTATCTTTATACATCCACATCATCGTTGAATCAGTCTCCGGTTTTTCATCACAATTCAAATACGCATATCTTAATCATAAACAAATCTGAACAAAGTACTCACTGTCAATACTCGTGGAGTCCACATCCGTCTCATCATCCGTCCTGGCTCGTTTCAACCCCCTCCGCAGGTCATCGAGAGACATATCATCATCCAGTGAATCAGTATCATCACACAAGTCCTCCTCCGGCCCATTGTGGTTGGCATGGGGCAGATCTGAAGCTGTGGCTGCGGACCCATCCAGTACACTGCTGGATGAACCACGACCCATTACTGCATTTGACCCCGAAGGAGGTTCTGCTTCTCCTAATGATGCTTTTTGTGGATTTGTTCTCAAAGCTGTACCAGTTTTAGAGGAGTCCAACAAGTTAGAGTCACATGATTTTTGTTCACCTGCTGAATCAGACACAGACAAAGTTGATGAGGATACATCGTCAGAGTCAGTATTATGCCATGACTGTTTATCACTGTCACTTCTTGAATTCTCACTAACTCCAAATTCCTGATCTTTCTTAGTCTGTGATGTCTCAGGTAAACTGTCCCCATCTTCAGACTTCGAACAGGTAATGTCATTTGCACCAGCACCTGTTGCATCACATACAGCTTTGGACTCTTGAGAAACCTCATTATCAACTGAATCTTTTACGCCATAACCCACATCATTATCATTAACAGGTTGTTCCGGAGAGAAATTCTTGCTTACATTTTGATCACATTCACTTTTGAATTCACATTCCCCTGAAGGACTCAAATCTGCATCCTGGGTGTCCACATCATCCTCCTCATCATCCTCTTCTTCTTTCACCTCAACCTTCACTTCCTCTTCCACTTCTCCCACATTGGGTACTTCTTGAGTTGGTATGGTTCCATCCGGATTCAGGGTCTGTTGAGCAGCACCTTGGAGCTGGATTTGGTTGACAAGGGATTGCATTCCCTGGATCTGTTGCAGCAGAAGTTGCAGCTGAAGTGCCTGCAGCTGTTGAAGTTGTATTGCATTCAGATTGGTCATGTTGCCGTTGCCAGCATTGTTCCACATCTGTTGCATCTGGAGGAGATTGAGACCTCCTCCAACAGCTGCCTGGCCTTGGCACAGCTGAGGATCAATCATTGTCCCATGCAGCATGACTTGCTGCATGCTATTCAAACCAAACTTATCTATCCCAGGTGCTGGTAACAATGGATTAGCTCCATACAGCTGAAGCAAGGGAATATTTGGATTTGGTAGAAGCACAACCTGACCTGTGTTATTATTCATTTGTTCTATGACTTCATTTGTCGGACTGACAAGTTTGTTCATGAGAGTCTCCACGCCCTGATGGGCTGCCTCAAGCTTTGGAACATTAGCTTGGCCACTTTCACTTACACACACTGTTTCATTACTGGCCATAGAACTGCCAACACTGTTGACATCTTCAGCTGTGCCTACATTTGCATTGGTTTCAGACTCACCCCCTTGAGGTTGTTGTACTCCCATAAATGCAATGTTCTGTGTCCCAGTCTGGGAGGTATGCATTGAGGGTATTTGGTTTGTAATAACAACGGAATTGTTTAATGTTGGGACAGTCACAGTGCTGATGAGCGACGTAACAGGTTGCTGATTCAGAACAGTTTGAGGAACACCAACTGCTGGGATCACTTGTGATAGGCTGTTTGTGACATTGGTTACAAGGGGGAAGAGACATCGGAGGCATAGGAGTGTTCATGGTGACATATGGGAACTGATTATTTAGCAAAGAAGCATTGACACCAGCAGAAACTTGGGATGCATTTGAGGAAGATGTTGTTGAAAGTTTCATGTTAGCACCAATAGTACTCGGGCCACCAGGAACATTTGCAAATAGTGTAGGGAAGTTCACAGCAGGTCCATTAAAGCCATCCAAACCCTTAGTAGTCTCTACTCCTGAAACTCTACCTGTTGTTGTGGCCTGTTTTGAAGTTTGTGAATTGGCACCTGACTTAGGATCAAGACCAATCAATACGTTTTGAGCAGGATTTAAACCTGTGGAATTGCCTATCGGTTGGTTAACAGGGAGGAACATGTTGAGAGGTAATCCTTGCACAGTAGGACCATTCAGTGTATTGATATAACCCCCAGGAAGAGCACCTGCCAAAATATTTGGGTTCTGAGGAAGCATGAGAGTTCCACCTCCTTGCTGTTGTAGAGATAAATTCAACTGATCTAACGTGTTAATGCCTGCTTTGTTCATGATGTCAGGAATGGCAGCTGGTGGGGCAGTTTCCTGCCCAGTAGGAACTTGCAAAGAAGGGCTGACTTGCATTGGCTGGCCTAGTAGAACATTAAGTGGGTTTTGCTGAGAGCCCTGTGCTCTTGCTGCAGCGGACAGTAGTGTGCTGGCAGGAAACTCCCCTGGTCCTTGCTGACTTAAAGCTTGTTGAACAGCATTGAGGTTCAGATTATTAGCAGCTATCAGTTCAGAAATTTCGTTTGGCATTACCAAATTTGTAGCAGTAGTGGATGGGTCTGGTGCGGAGACAGTGGAAGCTAGAGTGACAATTGTGGCATTGCTACTTACAGGTGTTTGGCTCTGATGTGAAACATTTGGCTTAGTGCTGTTAGTTATGTTATTTTCACTGATACAATCTGAGTCCTTAGTCTCACTTGATTCTAAAGAGTTCGCTTTGGCATCTGTAGGTAGAGTGGCATTGCTGGCAGGACTTGATCTGGTTTTGTCATCACAACACTGTTCAGATGCACTAGCTTCTTTCTCAGAAACATTCAATTTTTCTATAGCAGGTGTATCTGATCTATCACAGTTTGCACTGTCATCAACTTTCAACAATCCTGGGGTTTTAGCAGTAGTCACAGTGCCAGTTGATGTACTGGATGTTGCAGATGGTACACTAATACTACATGTTTTAGATGGCAATACTTTGTCTGGTACCTCTTCCGAGGGTTCAGATGCTGGTGAAGAAGCTGTGGTTACAGGTACAGTCTTATTTTGAATTGAGGTGGATACACTTGGAGGGGAGGATACAGAAGGTTGTGGTGTCCGTGGACTTGGTTGAGACATGTCTGTCTTTGTGGAACTTAATGAACTATGAACAAGAGCTGTTTGTTGAGCAAGAAATGCTGCTGGATTTTCCATGAATGATACACTAGTGTTGATGCTGGATGGATTCTTTGATGCTTCCTGAGGTATGTGTCGGACATCAACATTCGGACAAGGAGACGTCCTGTCGAGAATGCTGTTCAACTTCTGTTTATCCTTCTTGCTTCTAGGCCTCTTGGCCTTTGGTTTCCCTGGGTCCAGCCAGGTCAGATTACCTAAATGAGGATAGCCCTGGTTGATCATGAGATTTGGTTGGGATCCAACCTGCAAATGATTGCCTTGCATGTTGGCTTGTTCAAACACAGGAGGGTTCGTAAATCTTTGGGCTTGTGGATTCTGCACATGCATTAGAGTCTGGAACATTATGTTTCCAGAATTCTGCTGCATATTCATAGGCAACTGGCACTGGAAGTGTTGAGGAACATTTGGTCCGTACATGTGGTTTGGAACAGAATTGACTAAAGAGGGACTGGCAGTGGGAGCACATGGAGAAGCAGACTGTTGCATCAACAACTGGTGCTTCAGCTGTTCTTGACTAAAAGGAGCTTGAGGGGACACAGACCCTTGATGGAAGATTGTCTGACCAACACTATGTCCGGCCATAGACGTCTGAAGCCTATTCTTCTGATCCTCCAGGAAGCCTTCTTTGCTGAAGTCCAGTTTGGCCGGGACTTGGCACGTTATCGGGCCAAGGTCATCAGCTGGATCTGGCATTATGTTGCCAACGGAGTTGTTGAGCTTATTTACTTGTTGTAACTGTTGCAAAGCTTGAGATTTGCAAGGAACTGACTTATTTTCAAACATCTTTGGTACAGCATTAGAAACAGTAGTGACATTATTTGACGACTTAGATGCAGGTCCATCTGTGGGATTCTGTGAACCATCACCCTTTGATTTGGTGTGCTTGTGGGTGTGATTCATCGGTGGTTTCACCTTTCCTTTCTGAGCCAGAAGCTGTGATACCAACAGCCCATCATATGGTGTAGAGTTCACTTTGCTTTTGCTCTTCTTACCTAGAGTTGTTTGGGAAGAAAATATAACAAATATAACATATTTAGCAGAGGTGTAATCATGTCATGAGGATGCAATATGATACGTATCCTGACAAGGGAGCAATACGATTCATATCGTTCATAATCCTCTTCATCTTTGCAGGCAAATGACAGACCTGTACTTCCAGGCAGCAAAGATATGACTGACTGACTGAGTTTGGTTTTACGCCGCTTTTAGCAATATTCCAGCAACATCACGGCAGGGGACACCAGAAATGGGCTTCACACATTGTACCCATGTGGGGATTCGAACACCCGGGTCTTCGGCGTGACGAGCCAACGCTTTAACCACAAGGCTACCCCACCGCCTCGCAAAGATATGATATCATGAAGGAGAAACATATAAGCTTAGAGACACTGTGACATTTCTGCTGTTTATAGCCAACCAAGAACTACTAGAGAATAAACTTGTTCTCGATCAGTTTCTGTTACTATTGACATATTTTACATCAATGTAACTTGTGACATCATGTATCATATGTATTGCGATACAGGAGGTGTAAATCAAGTATTGTATCAGGAGCCTCATATCACAATACAATACTGTATTGCTGTATCATTAAACCATGATAAGAATGATGCAGCTGGTTTTAATCCCATCTTGCAGCATATTTCAGTTACATTACAGTGTGTCAGGTAAAAACTACACCCCACTATCCAAAGGCCATTTCAGCGAGTGATTGAGTTCAATTGGATGCTGCTTTCAGCAATATTCAAGCAATATCATTGTAGGGAATACCAGAAATTGACTTCACAGACTGACGTGCGTGGTGAGTCTAACCTGAATCTGGGGACTTATGAACGAACACTTTAACTACTAGGCTACCCACCTGCCCAAGTGTGCACTAAAATGCCACACATAGCAATCAAAGTATATGGAAGGAACTGAGACCTCAGGTCAGTGTATCTATGGTTTTATCTGAATATGGTAAGATCAAATTACGATTTTGGTAGTTTTTTCGTAACTCTTGTCTATATTAAATGTTTGTGGTCCTTAAAGTTTTAGATGTTAAAGGACCAAAACTGGTACGTTTACTCAACAAAGATCTTTGGCCACTCAACAATCTAAGATTGCCACCATTTTTCAAGATGGTTTCCTTGAGATTTTCTTTGTAGGCTTTCATCACTCTGATATTTATACCTAAATTGGTTTTAAAAGACATACTTTAAGGAAAACGGTGAAAATATTGCAGCACTATAATAATTATTCAAACATGAAAACATTGCAGTAATATTATACATATTTAGATAATATATTAAATATTCATGTTTGTTTATCTCTTGTTCGTATTACTGTTATTTACAATTCTTACACATTTAGTCTTCAAGAAATATTGTGGCACATACCATAACACAGTTAACAGATTTTTTAAAATGTTTAATCAAATATATAATAGTAAAAAATAGAAAAAGAAACGCATTGCCAGTATTTTTCCATGTAATGTTTCAAAAATGAATCACAAGTGTGTGTCTAATCAGTATGTCTATGAATAGGACTGCACGGTATTACCGGTTTATCACTTTTCAAACAATTGCAATATTTTTTATGAGAATCCTTATATTGGGTAAAGAACATATATGAAGTTTTTGTGATTTTCTTTATTTAAATTAAAATCTTTGCAGAAAAAACATTCATTTACAACAGATGTTGCCTTCGTTATTCAATGATAAAATGGCATACTGTCATACTATTAATTGTATAAAAAAGAAAATATAATTCCTGACTATGCAACCTAATTTTGAGAAAAAGAATCATGACATATATGTTTAGGGACTTATAATGTAGAAAATAGGATTGACGAGTTCCCAATATATCGCAATACGCGAGGCAATTACGGGTACCTGAATCGCAATATATTGCAATACAATTTATTCGCCAATACACAGCCCTAATGGTGAACGTTCCCTCCAACAGTTTCCGAGTTTGAATCAATTGCCATTGAAAACCTGTTGCCAAAACGCAACTGAATCTGTGTTTTCTCTATAAAGATAGTAAAGAATGAAGTGATGTGATTCATGCACTTCGCTCAGCATGCACAATCCGTGCAACATTTACAATAGAAACCAGAGGAGTCTGATCGTTTTAGCGGCAATTGACACACGTAAATCTTGAAGTGAAGTCATGCCTAGACTTACCGAGGCTCAGCACAATAATGCGATCGGTCATTTGGAAGCTGGTGAGTCATAGTCAACGGTTGTAAGGCACTTTTATATGTCCAAGAGTACCATGGGAAGGCTTTGGCATCAGCACCAGCAGTATGGAACGACACGTGATCGTCCTCGGTCAGGATGATCCTGGGTGACCACATCCGCCCAGGGCAGGTTTATTCTTCGACACTTACGGAACAGGTTGACGACCGCATTCTCTACAACATCTGTAGTGCCAGGACTCCGAACAATCTCGAACCAAACTGTCAGAAACCGCCTTCGTTTGGCTGATAGTCTTCCTAGGAGACCCTTGCGAGGACCTATCCTTACACGACATCATCGGCAACAATGTAGACAGTGGGTTCGAAACCATCTCCACTGACCATTACAAAGTGGAGAACTGTCATGTTCAGTGATGAGTCGTGGGCTGGTATATCCTCAGCCTGATGGAAGAGCATGTGTGTACAGAGTGCGTCATGAACGGTATGCTCCCAATTGCGTACAGGAAGTGGACAGATTCAGTGGCGAGAGTGTTATGGTTTGGGTAGGCAGTGGAAGACCCGATGCTATTCACGTCCAAAGCAATCTTACAGCTCGACGTTACTGTTCCATAAAATGATCAGGCCTCATGTTATTCCATTCATGAACTGTCAAAACGTCATTTTCCAACATGACAATGCTCGACCGCATACAGCAAGATTCAGCACAACGTTCAGCATCTTGCATGACCCGCCGATCACCAGAGCTGAACCCAATTGAACATTTGTGGAACGAACTGGATCGATGTGCGAGATAGTGTGATCCTCAACTGCAGACCCTTGCTGCTTTGTTTCTGATTTTGCACGAAAAATATCTGGTCATCCGGAATCTGATCCAATCTATGGGACGCCAAGGCCAGGCAACCATTGTTGCTAATGGCGTTCACATAAGATATTGACTGCTCTGTGACTTTGACCTTTCTGCACATGTCATTTGTTACGTCCCACCACTACTTCCACTGGACAAAACATGTTGAACAGTTTTTCTCTATCACTGTCCTGTACCATATGACTATTTTCAGCTATGCATTTCTGTTTTTAGTAGTATAGATTCAAAATTAGATAACTTTGGACCCAAACAAACAAATGTTGTTGTTTTGTATTTTTTTTTTTTTTTCAGTTATCAAACTTGGTGTAAATAAATAAATAAATGGTATAAACAATATGTTTTCTGAAAATATATTGAAACATTGATATCTCATCTCCTGGTAAGGAACATTGTTGACTTATGTTAAAATCAGATTTTAGTAAACAAAAACAAATTGTGTTATACAAATTCTAAGATATATGTGATGAAATTTAAAGTACATCATAGCTGCATCAAGCATAGCCTATTCCAAAGTCACCCCTCTTAAACTTTGCTGAAAAGTGAGAAGCGTAAGTCGCAAAGCTCTCAATTTCACTATTTTAATCTGCCACTGGACATGAAACTATTGATCCTAACGCTGATCAGATCATTTAGAGAGGCAATCATAAATGAAACAAATGAGCCAGGTAAACAATTACAGTATAGATGATTTTGATGGCTATACTTCCTTACAATAATTTCGTTCTTTGGAAAGCTATAAAAACTATCATTGAACATTCATTGTCTTCTAAATCATGTTCCTGTATTAAGTGATCATGATCTGATAATCAAAGTTGTGGAATAACAAATGGCGCCCATCTTAATTTGGAATAATATCTCTCTTCTCCAGGTGTAGCCAACCTGATTGTTTGATCAGCATGAATACCACCAACCATATCTGGGACAAAAAAGTCGAAACCTAGTTGAAAATATTTTGCCTAATTTGACATTTGTTTAAAATATAATATGGCGGCCATCTGGGATTTCCTTCAGCAAAATGAATGTGTTTTCTAGCCTATTACGCCATCCAATCTAGAGATGTTATGATGAAAGTCAAATATGGAGACTTCTTTTGATTCTGACTTGTTTTGAGTTCAAACTGCAAGAAATATTTTTAAACTTTGTCTTTTTTAGAAAATTGGTGGCCATCTTGGATTTTGGAAGCAATAATATTTTGCTACATAGCATAAACGATATCTTAGTTAACACACTGAGACACAAATACATTGAAAATCTCAGAGAAATTATGTTTTTAGGAGCTGAAACAAAGATAGTGTAATATAAATGGTGGCCATCTTGGAATTTTGAGTGGCCAACGTTATTTTTTCAGTAAGTGTCCCAAAGTGAACATGTATGCAAATTTTGTTGCTTGTATCACAAAGTGAATGATTTTTCCATTATCTGCCCTACTATGAGAAAGAATGCTTAGTTCAACATCCTTGCATCAAATGCACTGCTAAAATAGTGATGCAATTCCTCAGAATTTTGGAAAATAAAGACTTTAACAAACATTCAAATCCAATTTGCCTGCCTAGGCCATTAAGTTTGGGATCCTGTATAGCTATAGATAATCAGTTATGTCAGATGCTGTGATTAAACTATTTCCCTATAAACTTCCTGGATCCAAGCCACAACATATCACAACTAAATGTCTTGAGACAACATACGACCAGTCATCATCTTTAAGCACATCAAATATCTTACCTTTCTTTGAATGACCTCCTGTTCCTGAATGACTGATCTTATCCGTAGCTTTAGAAACAGACATCGACCGACTACTCTGAAAAGTTGCCATTGCAATAATTTTGCGTTTGTGAATACACAACTTGGTGAGGTCCCCTGTAGCCATGTCATCCACAGTCCACAGTTTCCCATTGACCAGTGGGTCAAAGTTAAACACCTTCTCCACCAAGAGTGGACACTCCAAGCCACACTTGCAGGTGCCCTCTGCAGACAGATACTTGCATACTTCATGGTACGAACAAAGCCTTGTGTTGCTGGGACTGCAATGAAAACATGTCAGTTAGACTGCAGTTCAAACATTTTTCTAAGTCAGGGACTTATCTAGAGCGGGGCTGATATTCAGCTCGAAGCAAATGCCATTACAAATCGAAACAAATGCAGCAAATGCCATTACAAATCCCCAAATTGGAAATAAAACTTTCCTAACTCAGGTTAACAAATGTATGTATTAATTCTATGGATTTGTTCAGAAAACCATTTTTTTTAATACAAGAGACTTGATATGGATGTGCCACTTCTTTATTATTTACACACGATGTTTCTGGGCTAATGCTTGCCCCTTCATCAGGGTGAGGTGAGGTGAAATTGGGTTTTACGTCGTGCTTGAGAATATTTCGCTCATATGACGACGTGCATGCATGTGTATGTGTATGTGCGGCTGCTTGTACTAGCCCAGACTTAAGCTGGTTTTACAGTGCTAGCCCACTGAGATACCATGCTGCAGTGAAGCATGAATATCCCACTCAGACACATTATACTGACTCCGAGCCGACCAGTCCTTGTTGTATCCATTAATGCCGAGCGCCAGGCAGGGACCAACAAGTACCATATTTTAACGTCTTTTTGGTATGACGCGGTCAGGGATCGAACCCGCGACCTTCCGCTCTCCGGGCGGACGCTCTAACCACTACACCACGGAGGCGGTCCCCCTTCATCAGGTGAATGATGAAGTGGCAAGTATTAGCCCAGAAACGTTGTGTTTAAATAATAAGCAAGTTGCAAATCCATATCAAGTGTCTTGTATAATTACCCTACCAACTTCTAAATGCCTATCAAACATGCAGTATTTTATAGCTAACAGTATCAATAAAGAGAAAGCTGTTTTAATGCTTAGTTCCGTATTGGTGCATTTAATATTTTCTCAGAATACAATGTCAAGTGATTTAAGAAATAAGCTTAATCATACTTATTAGTGCGAGTTTAATTTTACGCCGCTATATCATGGCTGAAATGGGCTTCACATGTTAGCTATGAACAAAATAACCTCTTTCTCCCAACTCACCTGCCAGGAGATACATACATCATTCAGTGTATTCACATGTTTCAACGCATTCTGATATAGTGTCTATTTAAGGATTTCTTGGTTGACACTTCTTTGTGTGGAGAATCTTAGATGATGGGTGGCAGACCAATCATCTTGAATTTTCCACACCAATATTTCTTAATTTTCCATGCATAAGTAATAGAATGTCTTTTCTTAATTATTCGTAATGTGTACTGTGTTAATTAAACTTGTGACGGTAGCCTTGCAGTTTGACACTCCTTTTTTAGAGGTACACCAATTCAGTCTAAACAAAATGAAGACAAAGTCGTCAATATCCCCTATCATGGTTAACACTTGTCTTGAAAGCATCAACTAGTTACACTGATTGCATGTCAAATGTAATTGTATTTGTGGAGTAATTTTTTCCATAATAAAAAAATCATAAAAACTTTCGATAAAGATTTTTCGATAACAAAGTTCATCACAAATATCATTATTTCCGATCTTCATTACCTGTGTATTCAATTAAGGTACTGGCTTTAGATATTTTGTGATCTACTTTAATGTTCATACATTCTAACAATTCTGTCAGTTTCACTATTTATGAACATCATGACTTTCATATATGGTTTTCTTGTTGCTACTTCTTATAACTTATAAATATAAAAGTTTTGTTTTACCTTTATATAGACATTAATACTTCTGTACACGGTTACATTTTCTATAAAATAACCTATCTTTGTGCCAACAAAAAATATTTAAAAAAAAATCCAAATACAGTCAGGCCGCGGTAATCCGGTCCTCATTAATCCGAATCCACCGACTTCCGATCGCTACTCACTGGGCACCAAATCATCTCCCTATATATTGTATATAATTGACACCTCGTTAATCCGATGATTCAGTTTCCGCCTCCGAACGCTGGTCAGTCGGAACGGATTGGACTAATTACGTTGTAAACAGCTGCGTTAATCCGAACGATTGAAGTTGACCGCGCTGCTGACTGGTCCACCCAAAGTGACACGTTGTTTGTTTAGCGACTTAGCGACTCGGACACATGCTTCGGCAGCGGGTCCACAATAACATTGTCAAAGAGCAAAGTAACGATGTTTCGAGGAATTCATTAAATAAATTGAATAAACTAATGAATAAAATCAACAAAATATATACATGAAGCATTTTTGTCACAGGTCATAACCTAGCACGACACGTCCAATAAGTTCCATAATTTACGTATAGGTAGCGATTTCTTGCTTAATATGTTCAAAACAGCATTATTGTACCCAAAACTTTCGTCTAAATCTAAAAGTTTTCGTTTACGAGGACGGATACCGTAAATTACATTGCCGTAATATGATTGGCTGCCTTAGGTCACGTGTCTGATTTTGACTAATCACGACCCTTATAGCAGACTGTAGTGAAAAAGCGTCATTAAAAACCACTTTGTATCCAATAAAATCGCTTCTTACAACTGTGCAAATACTCTCGGCAAGGGTTCAGTGATGTTGTTGATGTTCAGAGCTTTCGAACGATACCCGACATCAAACGATTCGCCTCCCATGTTATTCATACGATGCTCAGAAAACGCAGGTATTTTCTGTTGTTATGTCATGTTACCGAGCGGAAAGCCACAGATATCGGGAAATAGGCGACCATACATATTATTTAAGAAATATTTTTATAATAATTTTCTAATGACGTAAAAATGAAAATATAAAAGAAAAAGGCACGGGCATGTTATGACATGTCACAAATGGAAAAAAAATCGCCATAGTTTTTGCTTCCTTCGTGGTTTATCTGGACGTTATAAATGTAAGCTTGCATTTTCATTCAAAAATAATTTTATTTAAGTTGTAGTTGTATCAAGGGGAAGTAACTCGGTGGATATACTGTGGTTTCAGCAGTACGAACGTTTCACTATCCGAACGTTTTTTAAAAAAACCCAAAGTGTTCGTATTAACGAGGTCTGACTGTATATCAAAAAGCACGAGTACACCACTTACCCTATCTATGTGCCAACTTTTGTGAGGAAATATTGTACGGTTTTCAAGGTCTGCTCTGGAAATACATTGCCCGGACAAATGAACCCATGGACTGACAGTGTCCATTATATAACTCCCACCCCACAAATTGCATTGTGGGGGATGAAAACATTCTTCTGACTTGATTTTTCTCCAAATCATTCATGCTTAGCATATTAAGAATCTGCAACGCAATTAAGAAGTCCCAACTTAATTTGGATAAACAGTTTTGCCATTGCCCAGTTGACACACCCCTAAAGCTCTGTGGGTAATATACAACAGCAAGTAAGAATATGAAAAAACAAAATAGAAATGGTAACAAGTTTTGACAATGAACTAAATAAATAAGTAATCTGACTGTCCACCGTTACATAATTAGCTAATAGCCATAACACGTTCATACTGACTATACAGTAGATTGTCTTAGCTGAAATAACATTGGGGGAAAAATGTCTTCTATATGAAGTTATTTTTCAGTCAGTTGAACATAGATGATATGACTGACTGACTGACTGAGTTTAGTTTCAACTTGTAAATATTCCAGCAATATCAATGCTCAACACATGTTTGATATGAAAAGCATAACTTGTTATGCGTAAAATCTGCTCAACACATGTTTGGTCTTGTAATATTAATCATGTTAGAAAGATTTCAGATTTTTAAATTAAGTTGATCTTCTGTAACAGAATAAATTTCACCTGAAGTTGACAAGCAAAAACATGCCATGTTTGCTGAGGTGGTTCAGTGTTTGACAAAGTGTCTAGTCATTGTTATCATAACACTATAAAGACTTCAACAACTAAACCTAACAACCACAGCAAGCATTACTGGTTGATGTTAACCTTGTATCAAATAATAAGATCACAACTGTGTCCTTCCCTGACTTGTGGGATCAGATGAGTTTTCTAAATAAACCTTTGTCTTCACAGTGGACCATAATGGATCTTCACTATTGGACCTTCACTATTGGACCATTACTACTGGATCACTGATACTGTGCCTCTCCCAAGAGCCACATGTGAGACTATCAGAGACTCAGCGTGTTTGTTTAACTCACGTTTGTTTGGGGCTTACAAATGTCCTATCTACCAATAGTGAGTGAGTGAGTGAGTGAGGTTTTACGCCATTCTTAGCAATATTCCAGCAATATCACAGTGAGGGACATCATAAATGGGCTTCACACATTGTACCCATGTGGGGAATCGAATCCGGGTCTTCAGCGTGACGAGCGAACGCTTTAACCACTAGGCTACCCCAACGCCCCTATCTACGAATAAGTTCTGAGTGAATAAGTTAGTGAGGTTTTACGCTGATTTTAGCAACATTCCAGCAATATCATGTCGGGACACCAGACATCGTATCCGCCTGGGGAACTTAACCGTGTCTTCGGCATGGCGAGCCAATGTCTAAACACAAGGCTACACAACCACCCCTAGTTGCTTGATAATGTGGACTCAGTGAACCAAGAAAACGCATAAAGTTCTGACATGTTTCTGCAGTACAAGAGACAGCAAGTGTTTGCCACTAATATGGCAATGTCCCCCGCTGCTAAAGAATGGAATATTTATAACATATTTACTACTTTTATTTTTGGCCACATATAAGATGCCTGAAATCACTGGTCCGCATAATCAATGGTGATTGGGTGCAATGTTTTATGAGACATCACGTTTACATAAGTTACACCAAATTTGAAGACATTAGGTACAACAGTTCATGAGATATCGCGTTAACAAGAGTTTGAAAAGTGGTCAAAGTGTCGTGGTGACCTTGAAGATAAGGTCAAGGTCACCAAAATCAATCCCCCAATGTAGGTTGTCACCAAATTTGAAGACATTGGGTACAACAGTTCATGAGATATCACGTTAACAAGAGTTTGAAAAGTGGTCAAAGTGTCGTGGTGACCTTGAAGATAAGGTCAAGGTCACCAAAATCAATCCCCCAATGTAGGCTGTCACCAAATTTGAAGACATTG